ATGCAAGGGTGGAATAGACTGAGTACACTCAAAGACTCCAAAGACTCATGCCCAACTGCGTATCAGTCTGTCGTGCCTCGTCCTCCAAGGGCCTCAAAGACTTCTTCGCAGCCTGCCAAAGATCCCTACAAAGAGAAGCCTGGATGAAGGGCCGCGCCTTTCAGTGCAGGATTTACCTTTCTTGAAAAATGAAGGCACAGTCCTGAGAACCGCTTGTACGCAGCAGAGGCTTGGTCATTCCCAACACTGCAGTCAAGTTGCTGGGCTGGTCTTCGGCCATCAAAACAATCCGCTTATGTAACAATTTACGAGGTAAAGGGTAAAAGGCCAAACACAAAATCTGCAATTTAAATCCTACCAAATTCCCCTGGAAGCTAATTTCTCAGACTAGAATTTGTAAAATTTGCAAATTTCCATTTTTTATTCTATTTGTTTTTTACAAATTTGGTAGGAAATTGCTCAGGGTTGCCTTGCAAAAAACAAAAACAAAAACGCACCAAGGACTTCTGCAAGGCAACCCCTTCTGAGCCACTCGCCTTGAGCTCCGCTTCCGTGGCTGAGCTGGGTGTGGCTTCCAGACTCTCCTTCAGCGCCTCCGGAAACGAGTCTTGCCAGCCGGCCGATTCTGACGAAAGCACCACCTACGCGAAGGCTACATACATTAGACATATACACATATAAATATACTAATACATATGCCCAATATTTCCTTGGATCCCCCACACTCATCATGAAACCTGCTTGCCTGCAGGACAATTAGGGAGCAAACTGTCCTCCATCAAATTCCATCTTACAATGTTAGCGGGAGCCTCAGCTGGCCAGGGCGGCCCGTAGCAACCCCTGAAAATGCAAACATGATTCAAAGGACGCCGAGCCTCAATTTATTTTCTCGCTTTTCACCAGTGGCATCTAAGATAGTTCCCAAGCAACAAGGGAACTTGGGATTCAAGTGTTTGCCCTCCAGCTCCCAAACAGAAAGTGGCTTGCCCTAGACTACCACCAAAATTGAGCCGAATTTGAGGGGGAAGCTTGGTGGGGTGTCCCTGATTTCCAACCGCAAGGGGGCAACCCTGGTCGTTGAATCGGATTGTGCCACCCCGCCCTTTCAAGGTCCCACAAGAAGCTCACGACTTTTTTGCCGCCTGTAGAGGCAAAGGGCACTGCACAAGGGCTCAAAGGGCTCAAAGCGCGCACTAAGCTCCTTGACCCGGGCGAAGAAATCCCAACCCCAACCAGTCCCAGAGGCGTGAGGATCCCTCGAATATTAAACAAACTGCTGTGCGATCCCGCCTGTTTCCTATTTGGATTTCCTTAAATGGCAGGGCCTGGTTGCTAAAACATTTGGCCATGGGTCAAAGTCTCGTACCCCCAGTGAACATCTAAACCCCCACTAAAATAGACTAGAATGGGTGGTGCACCTACAAAATGGTACCATTGGTTTTGACCCACCGCCATCTTTTCCCCAACCTTGGGCCAAGACCCTGCGCCGACCCCATTGCCAGCGCCTTCACCTGCTCATCCACCGGGCGCTTCGCCGCCAGCGCTGCCTGGCATTCGGCCCACCCGAGTCGACTCGAATCGACCTTAAGATCTGGAAGCAAGATCTCCCCGCAAATTTGGGACATTTGAGACCCCCAAGCTGGGGATCTTGAATATTTTTACCATCAAATTTGGCCTGAACCCTGAGCCATCCCTCCCACCGAATTGAGCTAAACATCCAGCACAAACTGAGGATCTTCCGGTCGCAGCCATGGTTGATCAGGCAGACTGGCGCCAAGTTGAACGGATTACTCTTTTTGCTCGTCAGTGTCACTCCGCACCTTTTGTGGGCAATTTCGTCTCCTCGTGATGCCGACCCCGAGGCAAGCACAAAACAGTTGCCTTTTGAGCCAGCGTACTTTGTTTATGGATGAACGGGCAGGGTTAGCATCGCCGGTCGCATGTCAATACGCTGCCGACCTAAGTTTCAACATGTCAGCTGATTTTGGAAGTACTGGTGGGCAAATCTAAGATCAACATGGATCCGTCTGTGTTGGAATGGCAGGTTGTGAATTCATAATCTTCAACGTTTCAAGTCATGACAACGTGTTGCTGAATGCTGTGTGACGCTGTACACATCCTAAACGAGCACTGCTTCCTTAACCCAGTACGTCCACAGCATACATACAAACCAACACCTAACTTGTCCATCAATACCTGCAATGTCTATTGAGGAAGCAGGGTACGGTTAACCTGCAGGTGCAGTTTTTTAGTACCAATGCAACAATTGTATTACATCGCAACTTGTTTGCGAAACTGCGGTTGAAACTGCTCAGTTCACTGGCGAGCGCCTGACATAGGTATGAATCTCAAATGTGCGCAGAACATCGCATGGCGTCCGAATATTTAAGCTGATACTATTGCGATTTGCACTAGGTTCATTGATGCTTCTGCTGATGTCGGTCCACATGATAACATACCAGTATTGATCGTAGATCATGCCACAACGCCTAGGAAATGAGAGCCCCACATCTTGCCTCCAAAGCATGGTCGAGAGCGGGCTTCTTTGCCTCATACACCGGGCGCATGTAGTCCAGCTCGTCCTCACGTGCGCCCGGCTGCCAGAGAGACATGTCAGCGAAGTGTTTTGCGCCAGGGCTTCGACGCGCCCAAAGTGGCACAGGTTCAGTCAGTGCCGCGGAAAACCATGCCAGACATGGACGTGTTCCGAAGCGTATGCTGTGGTGGGAAGCCAAGAAAAACAGGGAAAGGGGCGCCGCTGAACAACTGGGCCACGGCAATCCAGAAAAAAAAGGGGATGAGGCATGCACATCTCTGGCTTCCAGGGTGCCGCCCTGTTGTTGCTCTCCAGGGCGGTGGTAAAGGGCAGTGGTAGATTCACATGGAACCTAGACAGCTATCTTTAGAGGAAACTCCTGTTGGGGGACGCTTGTTTGGTTTCCAGGTCAGTTTGCATCCCGATAAAGGCTATATGTGAGGCTGGGTGTTTCGCGGCGCCTCTGTGCTGCGTTGATGGTGAACGGATAGATGTTCTTCAGGACGACTACCCTTGTGACCTTTCCCAGAGGCGATCTGACGACTAAGGCAACTTCGCGATGGAACGCCGCAAAGCACCCCAGCACCCGCGTTGTGGTTTCTGGAACGCTCCATCTGGAAAGCTCCATCTGAACTTGCTACTCCATCTGGAAAGCTCTCAAAAACACGGGCAAATTTCAAGGCATGTATTCACAAACATGCTGATTGGAGCGTTGGGGGACCTCTGCTTTTGCTATGTGGGCAATACAATGCACAGCCGAGCCAGTCCAGGCTGTAGTGAACGCCCAGGTCCAGGAGGGATGACAGGCTGTAGTGCAGGGTGGCCTGAATGCAAACAAACGAGCAAACATAAACAAATAATAACAAATAAACAAGCAAACAAGCAAACAAGCAAGCAAGCAAGCACGCCAGCAAGCAAACAAACACATACAAACAAATACGCAAATAGGCAAACAAACAAATAAGCGACCAAAACAAACAAACAAACAAACAAACAAACAAGCAAGCAAGCAAACAAACAAGCAAACAAACAACAAGCAAGCAAACAAACAACAAACAAGCAAGCACGCCAGCAAGCAAACAAACAAGCAAGCAAACAAGCAAGCAAGCAAACAAACAAACAAACAAACAAACAAGCACAAGGTCATGCACGCACAAAATCACGCACGAGACGCACTCGACGAGTGCGGCAAGTGGTGCATGTGACGCACGTGACGGACGCGTCGCACGCCACGCCCCGGCCCTATCTGCCCGCCTGCCTGCACCAACCCATACGCACACACACACACACACCGCATTTTGTTGCGAGAGCTCGGTCTGCAAGCTTTCAGTTCTTCCGAAAACAGATTGGGAACCACATCCAACTGCTGGTGTTTCCTTCGAGGGCCCAAACAAGGTCCTGAGCTTTGTGGAAACACCCTCATGTTGAAAGGCCCTACCAACAAATTTCAGGCTCAAACCTGCGACAATGAATTCATTGCACGACCGGTTGTTTGCAAAAGGCCAAAAGGCTCCCCTCCTTTTCACTGGTGGATGGAATTGTGAAAAAGCCGGGGGCCGCACTCAAGAGAACCAAAGCCCTGAGAACGTCCACTCCCCTTATCAAACCCTGAGTCTGCGCAGTAAGTCCTTTCTGGTCGGGAACTATCCTCTTTCCCTTCGCACGGGGTGCACTAGCAAGGGCTTTCTAAAGTGGATTCGGCCCTATATCAGGTGCCCACTTTCCAAGAAAATGTGGAGTGGACAGGGAGCTTCTCCAAAAGCAAACTCATGTTGAGCCCTGATTAAAAGCTCCCCCAGTCTGGTAGACCCTGTTGAATAAGTTCAGGGGGCTTGGCTCGATCTCACTTTTCCCCCTCTGAGCGCCCGGCCGGCGCCATGTTGGACAGGAAGCCGGAGGCTGGGTTCTGAAAGTTGAAGAACCAGAGCTGGTGGGTGTTCAGATTGATGCAGTAGCCCATGTGGGGTGGACTCACCTGATGGGAGGGCAGAAACTGCAATAAAGAAAAGAGCCAAAATCCTTTCACTTCAAATCATCTTGATCAGCCGCACCTTAGGATCGACGTTGTGGTAGAGGCACCATCCAGAGTTGTCATCTCTGATGGTGGAGGGGGTCAATCCACCCTCCCGCCCCCAGTCGCAGGTGGCTGTATCGGTGACCAGGCTGGACACAAAGGAGTCGCGATATGCAGAGGCCCCGACGAGGGAAAGGGCCGCGAGGAATAAAGCCATGGCAATTGTAGGTTTCGCAAAAGCAATTGGGAGCTCAGAAGCTGCGAGTGCCCGACGACCGAAACAAACATAAAACTGCATGCCCGTGACTCACGGCCGCACATTTCAGGCAGCTCGGAGAGTACCACGTTCGCGGCAAACTTGCTCCAATCCACAAAAGACAGCCGAACTTACTGCATCCCCTTCAAGACGTCATGCAAAACTGTCGAAGCAGCATCCTACATCGCGATGCCCATCATGTTGCCCAATTCGCAGGGATTCTCCTTGCGAAAATCAGTTTCCCTCTTGATTCCTTCACCCCAACCCAGGGTACCAACTCCTGAAAGACTCACTTCTTGAGTAGATGGCCCACAAGAAGTCCAAGCTTTTGGATTCAGCCACTAACATGCCACCAACATGGTCCAAGAAGAAGTGTCTAAAGTCCGAAACGGAATTCCGTCCACTTTCAAGGGGTCCCTCAGCCGGCCTCACCGGGCCCATGGTCAGCGGGTGCTTTCCGAAGCGGTAGCCCTTGGAGCTGGGCGCCAGCCCTCGGTACTCCGCCACCGCGGCCTCTGGCGCCCCAGCCACCGATTTTTTTCGGGAAGAAAACAACCCCAAGAGTGGGCCAGTGGGTCTGTCGCCTTCCCATTTTTTTAGGGGAACCCCCGAAATTGGCGGTCTTCCTTTGGTTTGCCTTTAACAAGTGGGACCCAAACATGACCACTACTGCGGATGGCTGCGACATCTTTTTTTTTGCACCACGAAATGAAGGCATGGTCGAAAACCCAAGGTCGTGGGACGTTAACATTGGGGATTGGAATCAGAAACCGTTGGGTTTCTTGGGTTTCCTGGGTGGCGCATGTTTTCGCAACCAGCCACAGGATGTTCCCAAACCCTCAGTCCTTGGGACCGGCGAGTCCATTCAGCACAAGCTTTCAACCCTGTGGCCTCATCCTTGGACTGCATCTCAGCACGGATGCGATCCTAACAGCTCGACTCGGGTGTACGCAGTTTGCACCTGGATCGCCAGTTGCTGCTTTTTGTCCATCCACTTTACCCCAAAAACCAGCAACAGTGACTGAAAAAAACAGCAACTTGGCTATCCAGGCAAGCCAAGGATTCAGTTTGACCACCAGCACATGGTTCCGCGCCCGAGCTCCTTGTCATGGTCCAAGAGCAATGCGTGCGGCTTTCGGCTTGAAATTGGCACAAACGGCATCCTCAAGGCTGGCACCTTGCTGCGCTTGCGAAGAGCATTGACCAAGTGACTCAAAGGACCAAGGAGCAACAAATCAACTGAGATCCTTGCGCGACCATCCGCACAACGGCGGCGGCGCGGTGAAAGAAGCTGTGAGCCAAGCAGTCGGCACAAGAGAGGTCCATGCTTCAACTCTCACATATGCCTCACACCCAAGTCATCTGACTGTAGCTGCTGAAAAGCGGTCTGATGCTAGTGCGGAAAAGAATCCTGCCGATTGCAGCCCCAATCGGCGAATGAAATGCAAGCAGGTGAAGGCAAATGCAAAGCCTGCCTGACGATGTCCTCTGTGGCCTGCCAGGTCTTGGAAAGGGTAGCGGCAATCAGCACAGCAGGATGACTCACTCGACAAATGTGCAACTAGCCCTGCCAGAAAACGCCTCCTCTCAGCTATGATTGTGAGATGCAGGATGGGGATCCATGCTTCAAAGGGTCGGGTTAGGGCAAAGCTACTAGGAATGACACAAACTTGCGATGCCAGCCACGCATCCCCACCCCCTTCAATCACAGCAATTGCGCTCTTATCAGTTGCTTCAAACTCAAGCAACATACTGGGCACATCCACAGCAAGCCTCTTTGGCCAGGCCAGCGATGTGCACCTTTGCTCAACACGTACTGTCGCGTCTTGCGGTGGCCGCGGCTTCACCCGGAGACGTAGTGAAAAGACGTGAAAAAGCATCCAATATCCAAGTGACCAGCCGCATGGTTTCTTTTATGGATCAAATGTTGTCCTTCCAAGGGGGCGCCTCTTTAGGGGGCTTTTCCTGTTTCCGGCACACGGAGGTTGTGACGAGGCAAACCCCGATCTGATTCTGAGCTGCAAACTTGGAAGCTCATCTTTTCTTGCTGTTATGCACTGATAGAAGCGCATCACCGTGGTTGTGTTATGTTGCGTTTGGTGGGGGGCCTCCCCAATGCCAGTACTAAACCTGCTTATGTACCAACCAATCAACCAACCAACTAACCAATCAACCAACCAACCAACCAACCACCAACCAACCAACTACCAACCAACCAACCAACCAACCAACCCACCAACCAACCAACCAACCAACAGCCAGCCAGCCAGCCAGCCAGCCAGCCAGCCAGCCAGCCGGCCAAACGACCAACCGACCAACCGACCAACCAACCAACCAAGCAAGCAAGCAAAGAAGGCCCACAACCAACCAACCAACCAACCAACCAACCAAATAAGCAAGCCAAGCAAGCCAAGCAAGCCAAGCAAGCCAAGCCAAGCAAGCCAAGCAAGCCAAGCAAGCAAGCTTGACCGCACACTGCAGGCTGACCCACTCCGAGCTGGGCCGCTGGCAGTTCTCAGGCGCTTGTCCTCCTCGGCTTCCTTAAAGCGCCTGGGAAAAGCAATGGGTCCACAAAACTTGCTGGTGCGATAGGCAGGGAATGACCCCTCCTGGTGAAGGTTGAAGTGCAACCAAGGGGTAACTGGAGTTCAACAACTGGGGTACTGTTCCAAAGAGTTGACATGAACGGTCAAACCAAATCGGAGCCCAGGATCCATCAACCGTCGGTGGGTTCGGACTTAGGCGAGTGTCCCAATTTACAGAGGTTCTGGAGGGAACACCCCCAATGAAAAGGCTGGTTCTCCCATATATTGAGGGTCGGATCATGGGCAGGCTTTTTGCTTTCCAGCGCGCTCTTTCTCCATGCGAAACAACTCCGACATGGCAAGGATAAGGAAAACAACGAGTCAACATGTCAATCATTGCCGTGCCGTTGTTGCTAAGCTCTCCTGAGCTGTAGCTTTCCAAACCTACTGTTACCGTCTGGTGAGAAGCATTTCAAACCGTTGCCGAAAACCTGCGCACTGCTCCACAAGGTGAAGAGCACACGTACATTGGCTTGGGCAAAGGCAATGCTTTAAAATTTGACAGCCTTTGTCTCTTCAGTATTTCAACTCAAGGACTCAAGGCCTTGTCTTTAAACCGCTGGTTGGTGAACAGCCAGTGCTCCCAGCTGACGCCACCACATTTGTCTGATTCACACGGCCCTGGATGACCTGCGCGTAGCAGATTGGTGAACATGCTTTGTCGCTTGTGCAATGCTCCACCCATGGACTTGCCGCAGTTCTAAGGTTTGCAGGCATGACCCATGTTTCAGATTTGGTTGGGAGTTGAGGGTGTACGATAGTGACTGTTGCGATTGAAGCAAGTGCAATGTGGAAAGCAAACCCAGATCTAAGCGAGAGCGCGTTGCCATGGGGTCTTTGCTTTCAAGCGCATTTTTCCACTACGGCAACGTGCAATTCCTGCAGGTGCCACTTGTGCTGTGGTGCCCTCACTGCCTCCAACCAGGGAGTGGCATTTCGCGAATTCAACCACAGGGATTCTGGGTTCCCACATTGGGAGCCTTTCCGGGCTTGGGCGCGCAGCCTACGCCAGAGTCTTCAGCACAGGCTTCATCACGTCAATGGCCTCACATTGGATGGTGCTGTGCTTCCCGGTGAAAAACATGTCTATTCTGGCTCGAACAAACAACTCGCCTCCTGAGAGAGTTGGCCAAAGAAAACATGTGTTTGCTTACCACCATTTTAACTCAGGAAGTGAGAACAACTGCATTCAACGTCAGGCGGCCTGTCTGCCCTATCTTCAAGTAAAGGGGATTCTTTTGGGCCAAGCCCCGGACCACTGGGACTGGGAGGTGCTGAATCTAAATCGTTCTATGCCAACATTCCCCCCAAAAAACAAGTTGGCAAACGAGCAAGCAGCCGTAGGCCGAGGCATCCAATCGAGTCAAGCGCCACAGAAGCCAGGTCCGATTCTGGGGCTTTCCATCCCATCTGCTGCCGAGAAGCGCTCTTGCAATACATCAGGGGAATGACCACCCAAACTGCGTTGGTGCCTAGGCCCCATCGGCGCCAGACAGGCTTGTCATGCGGTTTTCCAGAATCAAAAGACTCAGTCAACTTCGCCATCCGCCCGCCAGAAACGCCAGAAACGCCCTTAGGGCAAGGCCCACAAAGGCCCACCACCAGTGGATGGACTTGGGGCCGTCAGTGTGTGTCCACTTCCAGCCGTTACCTGCGAATCCATTTGAGTCACAATCAAAACCCTTTGTATTAAAATGGTCGTAAGCCCAGAACCATGCTTCAAGAATTAGAAGGCGGATATCCGCAGCTATTTGTTGGGATTGTCCCTTGCTAACCTTTATCTACCAGGTTTTGAATGTGGCTCATTTGGACGTGCAGATTGATGATCACCATCGGCGGTCTCGATGAACAAATGGCTGAATAATGTGTTTTTCTCGGGTTTACGCCTGAAAGAAGCCACCTGGGAACAACCAAGCCAAACACCAACAACGCGTGGACGTGCCCTTATGTTCACACCGCCCTTTGTTCAAGAGGAGTCTGCCCATGCCTGCGTGAGGGGGCCAAACAATCATGCATCCACATGTTGGAATGGGTCGGAAGTAGAAGCTTAAACCGCCGAAATTGGGAAGATACAGTGAAACATTCCCCATCTTGAAGGAAAGCTACATGTCAACCACCAACTCACGGCTAGCTTCCCCAGCCACTGAATAAAAATTTGACTTCAGTGGCAATGCACGCTCTGATCGAGGGAGCAAACACGAGGAGCCGAACACCACGGCTGGAAAACCGTATGGCATGGAAACCTGCGAGCTGACCGGGCCTTTGAACCAGCTCATCCAACCTCGAATGCAGGAGACAACGGTTGCTGGTCGGAAGCAAAGCTTCTTGGTTGCAGATCCGGAACTGACACCTTTGTTTAATCTCTTGCATGAAGTAAACCAAACCTGTCTGGCATACCCATGTGGGGGTCCCATCCTCAAAAAACTTATCATCTTATATAAAGCGACCCCCTTGGTCCAGACAAGCTAGGGCCGCATCTGGCACACAGAAGGCAAAAGTAAGATCTTCTGATTCTGTTTCACATTTAGCCTACCAAGCCGGACTCTATCCTCCGCGCTTTTGCACTCGTTCACTAGCTGGCCTATTCCCATAAGAGTGACAGTCTCAAATGTGGCACCGAACCAGGCTGATGTCAACTCCAGATTAGATTGGTCAGACTGATTTCAGCCATGTCTTGTTTGGAACTGGTCATGGTTTGAAGCTTCAACCATTAAAACAAAATGAGGCCGCCCAGTCTCAGACAACACCCCACACAAGAGGCGTTCAAACCGTCTTGTTCAAAACTAAGGGGTAGCTTGTGCGAGCACCGGGCTAGACTTAGGTGGCCTTACGCCGCCACATGTTTGACTTGCGCGGGGGGCCCGAATCATCACCCCACCTTCAATCGCAAGAAATGAGTGTTTTAATTCTGCTCCCTCGGGCGTTCCAAAATAGGGGAGCCCCCAAATGGTGGTCCTTTGGCTTCGTTGTTGCAACCCCCCGCACCTGAATGGAGGATGTTCAACTTTTCATGTGTCCTGTGTCCAGTCTTCCCCAGAAGTCAAACGGCCGAAATCCCCCTCCCCCAATTTCAGCGCAAACATTGGGTAGGCCTCCCCCACGAAAGCTTAAACACTCGCCACTGGTCTCAGACCCACTGCCAAAAGTGGTTGTGCTGCTGAAGACGAACAAGTCGACTAGAGCACCCAAGACAGAAAGCCGCCAAGCCAGCTAAGTCCGGCAATGGAACTCCGGGACGTACTGTGAATACTAACATTCCTTATAGTTTGCCAATGGTTTCAACCGTGGCTTCAAATTGCTGCCTCCTTGTTTTCCCGTGTTTTGTTGTTTTTATTATTCATTTTGTTTTTTACAAATGATATTTTTTGCAGCTTCACACCATGACCAGCTCCAACCACGAACGGGATTCCGTTCGCTCGGCCGAGCGCGGCGCCGGGCACCAGCTCGTCTGACCAGAAGACCACCGTGCCAAAGGCGTGCAGCGCGCTGACGGTCAGCTGGGTGGGCCATCCTCGGGTGCCAGCTGGGTGGACGGTCGCACGGTCCCACGGAGAGATATGGAGAATACAGATATATATATATATATATATATATATGCTATCCCCCCCCCAAAACCTAGGTTATCACTTTTCAAGTGGGGGGGGGGTACCACATACATATACCCAGAGGGTCCCTTGGTACCTTGTGAGGATGGCTTTTGGGGTGTCAACAGGGGTCTAAGTCCATTCTCAGAAGGTACTTGGACCCTCTGGGTATATGTATATATATGTGCAAGGGAACGAAACATAAACGGAAAGGAACGCACAATAAGGCATAAAGAACTGGAACCGGGAATGGAATGGAATGAAATGGGATGGAATTTTATGATATGATGTCTACAATGTATGCAATGACAACTATGCCATCTAATGGCATGTAACTATGGAATGTAATGGAATGGAGTGTAAGAGAATGGCATGGATTGGACGTATGTAATGTACGTAATGTATACAAAACAAGTAATGCAACGTACTGGAATTGAGTGAAATGTGTATGTAATGGAAGTCACCGTAGTGCAAAGCAAGGTCATGCAACATGACGCATGTATGTAATGCAATGTGTGCAATGTAATGTGTTGGAAGGGAATGGAATGTAAGTAGTATGCAAGGTAAATAATATGTGCAATATATACAATGTATGAAATGTAGGCAATGTATGTAGCGAATTTAGTAGTGGAATCGAATGGAATGGAATGGAATGGAACGGAACGGAATGGAGTGGAATGGAATGCATGTAATGCATGGAATGGAATGGAATGTATGTAATGTGGGTAATGTAACACGGTAATGTGTGCAACAACTGCCCTGCAAATAATGAAATGGAATGGAATGAACTGGATGCGATGTGATTTGATGCAACGTATTGTAACGTAGTGTGCTGCATGTACGTATGGAATGTGTCTAAAGTTTGCATTGAGTGTCATGCAATGTGATGCTATGCGATGTGATGCACTGTAATGAAACATCACCAAACATACGTAATGTACATTATGATTAATAAATATAATGCGAGTGACGGTTTGTTGTGTAAAGCAAGGAAATGCAATATGATGTAATGGCATGTGCTGCATGTATGTGTCTCTCTCTCTCTCGCTCTCTCTCTCTCTCTCTCTCTCTCTGTCGGTCTGCCTGTCTCTTAATGTAATGAAACGTGGCGCAATGGAACGGAATGTACGTAATGTAATGTCAAAGGTAAATGTAACTATAAATGCAAATGTAAACTTGTAACGTATGTGTTGTGATTGTCAGACGTAAACTAATGTAATGTCATGATATGTAATCTAGTGTAATGTAATCATGTAACGCAATTGCAAATGCAAATGCAAGTGAATTGAAATGCGTATGGTTACACAGTTAGCCGGTGACAAACGCAAAGGGCCGACCCCACAAAAGGTCGCAAAGGCTTCACCATGTGAGCCTTGCGCGAGCTGAACAATTCAAAAGACAAAGCGCAAGGTCTTGAAGACATGAAGCAAACACCACAAAATGCCACGACTCCAGCATCAACGGCTCGAGAAGTGAACATCTTGCACAACGCGGTCGTGGCTTGCCCTTCTTGGAAGTGACTACCTGCCTTGCACTATCCTCATCAACATCAGCTGAAAATTGTACAATAATATTGCCTGAGAAAGGGTACCCTCCCTTCCACTAACGTGGCACCTCTGGGAGGGTACTTGGAAGATTGGTTTCATCTTCAAGGGACCCCATGTCTGGTGCTATGTTGTAGGGAGGGAGGGTATCCAGAAAACCTACGCCATGGTGAGCTCGTTTTCCTTTGCCCCCATAAATTTTCGACACACGATTCAGGCTGTGGGGCGGTACCAGGCGTTGTCCAGGATGCCCTGGCATCTCGCATGCAGCAAGGCGCCGCAACAACCCCTGCCATGGGACAAAATGGGCATGGGTCAAAATTAAACCACCAGGATATGGACCACTTTTTAGTCCTTGTTTCCATTTACCAGGGTTCCACAATTGGACTTTTTTGACCCACAGCCATATGACTGGGACTGGGTCCAGAAACTAGGGTGGCACTCTGAAAATGATCCTTGCAAATCCGAGATCAATCCCCTCAACACGGCTTGCTTCGATGATCCTGTCTGCCGAGACTATTCAAGATTCTATTAAGCCAGCCGCAGATGATTCCGCAAAAAGTTGGCCAAAACTGGTCTTGGATAATATTTGGCTAACTTCCTGCAGAACTTCCAGCGCCTGGTTTTCCCTAAGGTGGTTCATAACCAAGATAACATACTTGCTGTGGTTGCAAGCTCCCCCAAGTAGAGTAGGTACAAGCCATGGTCCCCCAGGTAGTTTCCGCGACTGATTAGCCGGCAGGCGCATGCAGGCGCCTTCAGCCACACAAGGCAAAGCGCTCCATCAATGATGCCGGCGGGGACTTCCACCGCCAAGACCACCTGGCTGTGGGTCAAAAAAAGTAGCCAAAATGGAACCCTGGTAAATGGAACGACGGACTAAAACCTGCGGTCCCCTGATGGTTTAGTCTTGACCCATACCCACCTGAATCAATGCTGGCCCCCGTGTTGGATGGCACACGTGTCCAACCCGCAGAACAGCATGAACCTATTCTCAGTTCAGCTTGCATGCAGCTCGGAGTTGCGTGGTTGGCCTCTTCAATCTTCAAAAAACACATATGCTCAGGTGTAAGCTTCCTAAAACGTGGCTAAGGCAAAAGCCGGGGGCCACGCAATTAGCATGCTCATCTTGCAAATCCGTCCTTATCGATGCTGGCTTTGGTGCCCTGGTAGTCGGCTGGCGGCTTCAGCTTGTAACCTCTGGCTCGCTGGCAACGAAGCCATCACCACTGCTCCCCAGTCGCCAGTGGAAGAAAACAAAAAGTGCACCCTCCTGCTTGATCTTCATTGCAGTTGACTTTAAAGAGAAAGAGAAAGAGGGAACTGGAGGTCTGGGGTCCGGCTGAGTTGTGCGCGTCGGTCATAGTCGCCGTAGGAGAAGAAGGCCGCGCAGAACGGGTTCCATTTCTTGAACCTTGGCCAAGCCATGCTCGGAATTACTGGCCTCACGGACCTGCGTGTCAGTTTTGAGGGAATTGTTGGCGGATGGTGTGAAAGGGAAACAAAAAGGAACAAACATTTCACCATTTTGGGGGGTCTCCGATTCCTAAAACCAATGGAAGACACGGAGGGTCCGGGAAATCTGACCAAACCTGCCGTGGCTCGACCCCCAAACCTGCCAATTGTCGCCGGGGTTCCCTGGATGGTTGCGAAATCCTTTTCGCACTGCGAAATGAAACCATGGTTGAAAACCATTGTTCGCCCAACTCCTGCGCTTCGAGTTCCGCGCAAGGCTTGACGTGAAAGCAGCCAACTCAGGCAGGCACGCGGGTTTCCACTCGGCATAGTCGAAGAAGCCGAGCAAACCTGAGATGCAACGCCAAGTCAGCGTTTTCTTCTTCACTCGTTGCTGAGTGCTGCCGGCAAGCTCATCTCCCAACCAAAGTGGATGTAGAAGTTGGCGGCCAGCCACACCTAGGTGAGACTGTAACACGCTTCTTGGGCAACCTGGTAGGAGTGTCAGGCAAGCATCTGCAAAAACTGCAATTCACCAACCAGCGGGCTACCTGCCAAGACAAGCACCTCTATCCCAAACAAGCTCCCTCACACAGAGGTCTGCGATAAGTTATGCATGAGGAATACCCAGAATCGGTCTGTCCAAGCCTGGCGCGGAAGAAATCGCCAATTGGAAAACGGCCAATTTGGGTTGTCACAATAGGGGAACGTAGGAATGGGTGGTTGTCGCTTTCGTTTCTTGAAGCCATCCTAAAACGGGGTTACCCATTTGAACATCCCTAGCTTTGACGCAGAGCTATCGGTTTTGGTAACCAACTGGGGGCCTAGCTCGCACTGATGGCGCTGCAAGTTGGGAAAGACCCACCCCTAGCCAGAAAAGGCCAAACAATTTTCCCGTTGGTATCAAACCACCTCCAAACTTCTCTCCACAAAACAGGTACCCTGCTCTTTTGCAGGGACTTTGCATCATGACTTGCTCAGAAAGGTCCAAGGGCAAACCCTTCAAGCCTTCTGAGACACTGAACTGTACAACCCCTATGACTCCAATGTCCTTTGAACGCCCGTCCCGACCCACCTGCCCGCCGGAAAGCCCATGCCCAGCAGCGGAAACCCACTAGCGTTGACCCCCCGTTGGTCCAACGCACAAGTCCAAACACTTGGTTAGCAAGTTGCAAACGCTCGAGCGTTAACGCAACGTTGCATCTTCATCTTGCAGCCTGAAGCAATGAATTCATCTTGCAGCCTGAATTCTGACACTTGGGCTTGGGGGCATGTTTCATCATGTAAAGCACATTCATCAGAAAAGTAAAGGCAAGAGTTCCAGGCAGGGCGCCATGTTCCACTTCTCCCAGTAGCTCAGCGTCATGGCGGGTGACGAGTGCGCGCTCTCGTTCTCTCTCTCTCACAGCGGCTTGGGCCAATGCAACATGATGCAACCGGACACTGAACCCTTCAGCACTCCCAAAAGGGCGGAGGGATCTGCTGTGCAAATGGGGTGGGTGGCTTGTTCCTCTTGAACATAACTCGCTGTCCCCTTGAAAAACCCAAATGAAACCTCGATCTATATTGGCCCAAAAGAAACGATGTCTGAAAGGCCCCAAAACCAAAAGGCCCAAAAAATCTGCAAACTATGAGCCTCCCGGTTGAATTCTGGTTTCCCTGAAGCCCAAAAGCCCAGATGCCCAGACCCAAACCGAACACCAGGGAAACCAAAGGCAAACACCCGCAGCAGCACCCTGCTTCTCCAACCTGCCAAGCCCATGTTTGCGGAGAAGAAAAAAAGAGCCTTGGAGCAACAGGCGCCGAATTGTGGTCGTTGCTCGGAGAAAAAAAAAGATCGTGGTTTGGAACGAGTGTCCTTTTGTGGGGAAAGGCAACCTGGCTCAGGATTTCTCTGGACTTTTCCGCCCTTTTCCGCTTGTTTTTGCCTTTGCTCCGGGTCTTGTTTTTCCGCCTGGTTGGCCGTCCCAGCCTCACCCTGCCCGCGAGACTCAGAGGGTCGAAACTTGGAAAAACGCTGGTTCACCACAAAACCGTTGCTTCTCGAATAGACCGAAACAAGACACACCAACGGCTTCGCAGGAGCCCACCCCACCCCACCCAGTTTTACCCGTAAGTGAGAGCTCGTAACAGGAGGGGGTGTTCCTGGGAAAACCAACGAAAACTGCTCATCTTTCTACAGGTTGATTCCCGCTTCTGTGCCCTCGTTCTTTTGGGAAAGCTCGGCTCGGATTTAGAAGCATCTGAAAGACTGCGGTCGGTACAACGAGAAGTTTGGCTGATGCCCAAAGCCTGAAATAAGGGATCAGGACATCATCGTGAGCTCGCACTCCCCCCAGCTCGGCGTAACATCGGCAAACACTAGACTTTGGGTTTGGCAGGAGTCCCTACAGTCCCCTTTACAACATCACCACCACCACTCACCACCAAACGAAACTCGCTTTGAGGCCCAAAGGCGACGCTTAAGGAAATACACTGCTTGAATTTGTGTCACGAGTCGCTAGTGTGGATGGACGAAATCCATTTCGCACCACTTTGAAACCATGGGAAACCACTGTTTGTTGGTATTTACAGGGAATCAGACCATTCCAGGGCTTCTTAGGTGGTGCGGAGTGGATTGGTCCCCTTATCACCCGCAAGGCAACTCGCAGGACATGGAGGGACCTCTGCTTGGGCAAGTTGGGTGCCACTTGGGCCGCGGGCCGGAAGTAGGCCGCCTGCACGCCCTGCGGCTCTGCATTGGCCATCTCCTCCTCCTGCTCCTCCGGCCTAAAGCAGAGAGGTCGTGGTCCAAATCGGGGGCACACCAAGAAATGAAGCTTACCCTCCCAACTAACGTGGAAGTGCACAGACCCCTGTAGAAAAACGACTTTCCTCTTGGAAAGGGGGTCTGTGCACTTCCACGTTAGTTGGTGGGAGGGTAAATTCTGGCCCGCTTTTTTCGCCTGCTCTTAAAGACCAAGCAAATTCGGAGGATCATGAAACTCGGACTCTGGTCCACATTTAGGCATACCCCAAAACACAAGTAATTTTGGAGGAGATCCTAGAAATATGGAAAAACAACTCAAACCCTTATATGGGGGTTGTCCTATATTCCTTTGCCCGCGATTGGGCCCTTGGGCCGCACTTGCGCGGCACTTGCGCGGACTTGCGCGCGCACAGTGGCGCAGAAACTTGTTTTCGTTGACCTCGGTTTGCGAAGTTTTCGTGTGGATTGCGCGCAAGCTGTTCTATCCAGTGTGTTTGTCGTTCACACAGCAACCCACAAAGACTTTTCCCGCTGAGGTCGCTCCCGGCAATACAATGCCAGCAACATACCCTTGTCTCAACAGAAAGAACAGCAGGCTCTGCCACACAGCTTGGACACAGCCTGAAAGAAGGAAAGTGCATGTTGCGGGTGCCTATCCATTGCTTGAACCGCGCCGCTAAGGACATCCGAGACAGCATGGCTAGATCTTGCTGGGGCTTCTCGTGCTTGCGCGCAACTTGCGCGCGGCTTGCGCGCGGCTTGCGCGGATTTTGTCGTGTCAGTTGCTGATTGTTGAAGTCATGACCGCAGAAGCTTTGGCTTCGTTTGGCGTCTGACTGATTCGAAAAGCACAAGTACAGCAAGAAAATATCACCTCCTTTCATGAAGCTAGGCAACATCAGTACATGAAACCCTTCAAAACTGTAACCTTGCGCGTCCCTTGGGCCGCACTTGCGCGCTCCTTGCGCGCGCACAGCTTTTGACAACTTTTACTTCTCCCCGTTCGGCGATAATTAAAACCGAAGACTGGCCCTCATATACTCCCGTGTAAACCCCAACCATAACATAACTAACCCAAATTTGTCCTCCAAGTCATAGTTGCAAAGAAAACTGGGTCGCACACAGGGGGCTGCACGTTTGGAGAAACTCAATATAACCAATCTTGTGGGTACCTTTAGACAAGTTGAAGAATGCTTCCTTTTAGCACGGCCCTATGTAGAGCGATGCACGGCGACTCCTGGCCAAATGGGGGCGGTTACTTCATGTGGGTTCGTTGCCAAATCGGAGAAGCCTCGATTTCACTTGGCTGAGAAGCCCCACCCAGGGTCCAACAAGTTTCCTAATTTTTCCACATCGCCATGGGCAAGCACACACGCACACACATGCGAAAAGTAGGGCTCCCAGCACAGTCTCCCACGGCCTTTGGACGTTCCACATCTGCGATGCGCGCGCGAAGGCTGGGGCTTGGGAGGCCATGGCCCAAACCACCACTTGGAAGTGCCCCCCCTGAGGCTCCGCCAAACCCCCGGGACAACACGTTTGCATAGGCATCCTTTCAGGGCAAATGGATGGATTTCCCTGGTAGATGATTAAGCCACCAGGAAAACAAAACAGGAATCGCCATCTGTTTTTCTTAAACCAAAACAACCAAAAAGGACACCTATGCGCGTTTGCTCAATCCACGCCACCAGCCCAGCGACTTCTGCTGGGCTCCGCAGGCGAGAGTCTCGCTTCCCGAGACGAAAAATTGCCACAAGAACTCCAAGCTGGCTGCCACTTGTCTTGATGTGCAAAAAGCACCCCCCCCCAAAAAACAAAACAAGCAGGAGCAAAAAACAACCCCCCCCAAAGAAAAAATGAAAGAAAGAAGGACAAGTAAAAACAAATAGGAGCTCAGGGAGTGAGGAGTTCAAAGGAGTCCAATAAGAGGACTCGCCTCAAATGGCCGGGTGTGCCCTTCGCCGCTCTGCCCGCCTTTCGGGCCATGTCTTTGGAGCCGGGGTCCATGACGGAGATCTGGCCAGCGCGCCCGCGAATCAGCCGGGCCTCCTATCCTCAGGGTACTTTGGGAGAGAACGAGCTCACTCAGAAAAAAATGAGTCTCAGAAAAATGCCGTGGTACGTGGCGAGTCAGGGGTGCTAACCGCTAAGTACCCTGCTCCTGCAAGTACAGGCTCATTTGCGCCCCTAACTTTGCGAAAGCGCCAGTCGCCCCAGCACGTCTGCAATGCCAAGGAGGCCCACAGCATCATCAGCAATACCCGCAAACGACGCTCAACTCCCTTGGTGAGTGAATGCGGCTAGAAAGCAAAAGGTGGATGGCGCTGGAGGAATCACAAGAACGGCCATGGGTGACTCCAGCAATTTGAACCAACATGCCCCCACCTTGAGGGATACGTGGGTGGAGCTTCCCATCTTGCAGGAAATGCCAATTGGGAGATGTCTTCTCTGCTTCAAAGCAGAGGCAACCTACCACTGTTTCTGGACTGGTCCCCAATACAATTTCTTCCTGTCTTCCTCTTTGGTGGTCATCATGTACCTTGCTTCCAATGGAAATGGACAGCGCTCAGGTGGTCTGAAGATGATAGTCCTGCAAAGACCTTCTGTGCACGTCCATGACTGTTGGAGAGAAGTAACGTGAGGGCCTAAATCAATAGAATTGTGTTGTGGGATACGTCAAAACATGTCAAGACCATGATCATATATGAGAATCATGTCAATAGCTGTTCGTCTATGTGTGTCTCTTTGAAAGAACATCTATAGCAAACAAACACAACACTGGGCTTGGGATTTGAATTTTGAAAAAGACGATCAACACAACTGTCAAGCACCTCATGTTGGAGGGGATTTCTGTCACTGGATTCCCTTCGCTCGCCTCAACCGCCTGCCCCATGACCTTGGTGCCGCTCATCTGATGCGCCTGGCGCGGTGCGTCCGCCAAGCGCAGGCGAGAACCCCCCCCCCCAGTAGAAACCCAAAGGGGGCCGCAAGCAAACATATCAGCTTCCTCCTAGAGTTCGATTCCCCAAACCACCAATCCAAAACATTAACTACAAGAACCTCGTGGTTCGACTTCTGCAATTTGTGGCTGCTTTTGTGCTCCTAGCTGGGCCTGCGCACGCCAACGCTGGAGTGCACAGTCGCCCAAAGGAGCAAAAGATAAACATGCACCGTGCAAGCAGGCAAATTGGCAAATGGGACAAAACACAAACCCGCAGACACACAGACAGAAACAGAGACAGACAGACACAGGCAGGCAGACACTCAAACACGCAAACACATCCACACTGCACAACAACATCCCACTACAAAACACAACAGCACGCACGGCCCCACAGTCGCACCCTCACCTCCAGGACACCTTTGGAGGTCTTGAAGTCCAGCTGCGCAAAGAACTCCGTGCTCCTGCGTCACTGCTTCAGTATCGGCTCTGATCGGGGCAAATGGCTCCAGGCTGTGGTAAAGCCCAGAGGCTGAAAAAACACAGCTCACTCGCATCCTCACAGGGCCTTAGCAAAACTGCGGGCTTGAGGCCGACATAGGCCCGACGTTTGCCAACATGAGGATCGCTGCTCGCTGGTCCGGAGCTGTTGGCCTATTGGCTGAACTGGCCCTTCCCACAGAGCGCAGCTTCCCCTCACGTTCGGGGAGGGTGGGTTCTGAATTCCGCCCGAAAGCGGGGTCGTTTCCTGAGTCCCATATCCCCTCCGTCCTGCCCTGGAAGGACCGAAAGAGCACCTCGCCGGCATTGCCACCAATAGCCCGAAGCGGAAAAAAAGCGGCTCCGAACCCATAGTGAAAGCCTGTGCTGTTTCTAGCGGACATGTTGGGTCCCAAGAACGCACTGAATCTGTGTTGCTCTCCTAGAGGGGGCATGGCGGCATGGGCTCCAAAAGAGAGCACAAACGTCTTCCACAAAAAAATGGGTGCTTCTAGGGATTCTTTGATTGACATGATCACCAAAGCTTTTCCACGCGGTATGCCGTGAGACTCCTCTGCCAAACATCTGGGGCTCTGGCCCGCTCGATGGCGTCGCATTGCCTGAAAGCCACCGCCATACCCCTAGCAGGCAGTTATTTAAAGCAGGCGGCCTCAAAACCAAATCGACGCGCCGACCAAGAAGCGTCTTCTTGGAACCATGCGCAAGCCATCGCGGGCTGCTTTCGTTCCTTTGATTGCTCTTGGGACCCTAGGACCTCGTGCGAAGAAGAGCTCCCTTCCCAATAAAACCGGTGCATAATCACTGAAGGGAAATGCCCGGCAAGCAGTGCTGAAACCCAAAGGGGTAAAGGTCGGCTTCTGACCCTTTTCGACGACCACAACAACGACCAAAGCAACGACCCCCCCCGCGAAAAGCTGAACACCGGGCGCAGGCCAGGCAAAGCAGGCCACTGAACAAAGCCTTTGATAGCCCTTGGGTCTGGACCTCCCGAACAAGGCGCCCAAACCCAGCCGTGGCCAAATCTTCCGAGCTGCTCGAAGGTCTCCCGCAGGACTGCCTCGTTGACCTGAGGACCTCGAGCCCGACACAGAAAGGCAGAGGGTAAGTAAATACGGGGGTGCCCCAACTGCTTGATGCACACCGGGAGGCGGCCATAGGGTTGCTTGGAATGGAAAATCAACAGTGCGGATATAAGAAGCGCTTCAAGTTTGCCCGCTCATACGCTTGCCCGCTCACGTGCTAAATCACTCACTACGCACACTCACCCTGCGCACCTACACACTCACACACTCACACACTCACACGCACCCATCGCAACCACCGACGCACACACGCAGGCACTCACGCTCGCAGGCATGCTAGTACACACACACACACGGAAACAGACACAAACACACACACACAAACACAAACACAAACACAAACACAAACACAAACACAAACACAAACACAAACACAAACACAAACACAAACACAAACACAAACACAAACACAAACACAAACACAAACACAAACACAAACACAAACACAAACACAAACACAAACACAAACACAAACACAAACACAAACACAAACACAAACACAAACACAAACACAAACACAAACACAAACACAAACACAAACACACACACACACACACACACACACACACACACACACACACACACACACACACAGACACACACAAACACACAAACAAACACACAAACAAACAAACAAACAAACAAACAAACAAGCAAGCAAACAAACAAACAAGCAAGCAAAAAAAAAACAAAAAAAAACAAGCAAACAAACAAACACACACAGACACACATACACGCAGACACACACACATACAGACACACAGACACACACACACACATACAGACACACAGACACACACACACACACAGGCACACACAGACACACACACAGACACACACACACACACACAGACACAGACACAGACACAGACACAGACACAGACACACAGACAGACACACTGACACACTGACACATTGACACACTGACACACTGACACACTGACGCACTGACACACTGACGCATGAACATGAAAGGCACTGTGCTTCTTCATCACAATCAGCATCAATCTTGCCCGCTACGCCAGAAATCAACAACCAGCCAGGCGCTCTGCCATGAATCTGGTCTCTGAAGGCGCCCCCTTTGATTCCGGTCTCGCGCGAACAATTTCATTCGGTCTCTGGGGGAAAAAACCGCCAGCTTTCAACCCACTTGAAGTGAACAACATCGCGACCCAAAGGCTGAGCCGCCGGGCTCAGGTTTCGCACGTAGACGGAGTTCCGCGCCTCTTGCGATGGCGATGGCGGCGAAGGGGCGGGGGGGGTTGAGAGGCCGTGGTCGACCGTTCAAAAGGGGCAACGACAGGAGCACCGCCTGTTTTGGGCTCCATGTCTTGAACCGTGTGTACATAAATAACTATCTATCTATCTATCTATTTACCTATTTATCTTATCTCGTCTCATCTTGTCTATGCAATCTATCCTATTTGTTCCGCCTGCCTGTCTGTGGGTCTACCTAGTGTAATCTAATCTCATTTCATCTAACCCATATAATGATCTATCTAATCTATTAAATATATCTAATCTATTTAATTTATTTAGTGCCACATTAGAAAAATGCCACGCCGCGCCGCTGCACCTCGTCTTTGGGTTAAGCTTGTTGGGAATCTCACTTCGACTTCCCATGCTTCCGCTGTAAACATTGCCGCACCAAGAGGAAACTCAGCTACAGTTGGGTCCAACAAGTGATGAAACCTGCTCAAAAGGGAAACCTAGGGATCCTTGCCTCGGGCAACCATCTTCGGGAAACCGGCTCCAAAAAAGGAAAACCCCGCCATTGTGAACTTACCTATGGGGGCTGGGGGGGAGGGGAGGGAGCCCAAATAAGCCCTAAATCAGGCCGTATTAAGGGCTGAATAAGGGCTTATTTGGGCTCCCTCCCCAGCCCCCTGATTACCTTACTCGAATTCCACTAGACTTCATTGACTGGCAGGGAGGCAAGAAGACCCTGTAAGGATTAATTCCCACAAGTGTCATTTCTCAATGTAATCCAAACCACACCGAACCCAGCCCCTGACAACGTGCAATTTGCCTGGAAATTGGAAAAATGCCCATGTGGGGTCTTGAAAAACCTTTCGTGATATTTGGGCACGCTGACTTTGATGGAACTCCTATCACTCCACGCGCGTGAACCGGAGGCTGTCTGGGGGCCCCCGCTGCAAAGGCCATGGCTTCCCAATGCCGTCCACGGTTTCTGCTGGGTCGGGTTTGGCTAAGTGATTGCCAGCTAAAGCACGACCCAGGTTGCTCAATTGGTTAAGGCTGAAACGCAGAGAAAGCAAGGGCCTTCAGCGTTTCCAAAGCACATGGCAAACTTGCTCTTCTACGTGTACAGCTCTCTAAATCGAACTTGTGCCGTGAGCTCTCAAAGCACTGAAGTGGCTGTGGCAGCCTTGGGGTGTCTGGTAGCACGTTGCGTATTGATGCCTCCTTTGCTGGCTCTTGTCTATACAAGCGGCCTTCAGGGCAAGCTTGATCCAGATGTACATGGCATTCGATTCTGCCTTCTGCGGCTCATACCTACAAGCTGGCCAGCACACACCCACACACAATCAACGCCTGCACGCACGCACATCGCATGCCTTTCGGGCGCGCCCTTGCGTGCGCGGCTTGCCATCCGATACTTTGCCGGAGGGGCAGCCAACTGCATCTCCACGCTCAGCCGCTTGCCAGGAAGTAAAAGGCAAAGACCAACATGAAGAGGAACAGGCCAGCAATCATGCACACCATCCGCCGATTCTGGTCGGCTCTCTGCAGCATGCCGTCCAGCATCTTGCCGGCCATCCCGTAGTTTTGCCCCACCTGCGGTGGGCTAAAACTTTTAAATTCCCTTGAAAATTGGCAAACATGGGCAAACAACCTCTTTGGATTCCCTTTGAAGGGCATCAAGGGCTCAAGGGCTGGTTGTTTATGTTTCAATACATGTTGCCTAACCCAGCCCGCCTTGCCCATGTTCTCGCGGCTCCTGGTAATTACCTCCCGCTGCTGCCGCAAGTCACCCATGACGTCGATGCCAATCTGCTCAGACTCCAGAACTGTCCTGCCGCCATGCTCGATACACAACGACTGGTCCCATGTCCTGTATGCCCTGAAGTGGATGGCTTCCAAGTTAAGCATCTTAGTGAACCTGTTGAGTAATGGCAGTTCCCTTAGTTCAAATGCTCTGGGTTGTTCCAATTCGCGGGTCCTTGTCTGTAGTAGTTGGACACCACCAGAAGGGAAAGGGGAGCAAAAACATAATTTTAGCAGCTAAGTGGTTGGATTTCAACCACTAAACCACCATAAGCAAAAATAAGCAAAATGTTTCCCAACCATGAAGAACCCGAACCAGCAAGCCACTCGAGTCAGCTCCTCTTGGCCTCAGCCAGCTTCCGCGACGCCTCCAGCATGGACCGGTTCACATCCTCCTCCGGCTTGCCCACGAGCGTGTGGTCGTCGAACAGGATGGACCGGTTCACCTCTGAAGCCCGAACAATCAGTTTGCCAACTTTCCGGCCGCCTATCTTGAAGCCAAAGCTGGGGGGGAAGGGAGGGGGGGGCACATTTTGACAGCTGCTGAGTACCACAATGCCCGGACACGCAGCGCCTCCAGCAAAATGCAGGGGTCAAGCCTGAAAGACTTCAAGTGCCGTGATTCAAAGATCCAGGCGAACACGGTCTGCTGAACTCCTCACTTGGCAGCTGAACTTCTCAACTTAGCCTTTGCAGGGAGGATGCCCTGACTGAACTGGGTGCTTGGTGAAGGGAAAAGATGCAGGGAATCCAGGGCAGCAAGTCTAGTTGGGCCATCGGAAACGGCAAAGGTATGGCTGAATCCTTGAGCCATAGCAAGTGAGAACCCACTGGGATCAAGGAGAACAAGGGGGGGCACTCAAAAATCCTTGCGGTTTCTCCTCAGCATCACCCCATCAGAAAAAGGAGGGGAACTTCTTAGTCGACCTTGGTTCCCAAATGCTTGCTAAAAACGGCAAGCAAAGGAAACCTAAGGGCATCGCCACTGTGACTTTCCTCGCTTGGACCTCCAAAAGCGCCAGCTTTGCCCATCAAAACAAACATTGAAGCCGGGGAAATCCTGCTCCCCCTGTGTGGGTTTCAGGATCCTTGAGGCAAGTGACCGCCTCCTTGTGTACCCTGCGCCCATCTGAGATCTCGTGCCTGCACTCCTTCACGCGGCGGCAGCTGCGATGACTGCTCAACATAAAAATGGCGTGGACGGTTGCTCCAATATGGCCATGGGTCAAAAGCCCGTACCCCCAGTGAACATCCCAATCCCCACAAAAAAAGACTAAAATGGACCCGGTTTTGACCCACAGCCATATGGTTCTTCCGGTTGCTCCATACTTCCACCCTCCACAAACGAAGTTCGCGCACAGTCGGGGCATGTCGCGCCTGCGTAACTTAGATTCTTCCGCTTTTCCTGGATGCAGAAATTGTGCGCCAACATCTTTGTTCAACATAGGGGACCACCACTCACCTGGCGAATGACATGGAACCTAAAGTGTCGTCCTTTGCGGTGTGCCACTAGGAGTTGCAGATCAGCCATCCGGGCAAACGCTGAAGAGTGTTTGGATTCCTTTTTCCTTTCAAGTCCAACGAGTAGACCCAACTTTTGGCGGTGATTCATTTCATGTTCGGGGTATATGTTCTTGGAGTTGGGTGTTTCACGCCCTTTCAAGACACACCCAGGTTTGGAGGTTTGAGGTGCAGTTTCCGCAAGTACAAGTTGGCAAGGGGAATGCCGTGCAAATTGAGAAGGTAGTCGTGGGACAGGTTGGACCCTGCCCCCTACCCAGTGGAAATTGTCGCACTTTCGCGCTCAGTGCCGATGACTGGCAGTGCTCAGCACCCGGGCATTTTAACAATGATGCAAGATTTAAATTATCTAATGGAAATAAAACAATTTGTGCTATTGCAATAATATCCATAAGTATTAGTTTTTCTTGTAATAATTATTTATCTTGTATATCAATTTGTTCATTAAGTTTTTTGCACTCATTTATATTATTTGTACTTAATGTACCTCTACTTTGAATAAGAATCAATATGTCTTTGTCTTCTATACATTTTTGAGTAGAAGGTCGGGGAAAACCGCAAAAACATGTTGGGGGAAGCCCATGGGCAATGGGGTCTGTACTTGGCCATGGGTCAAAATCCAAATCGCACCCCCAGTGAACATCCCAATCCAACCACTAAAATACACTAACAAAATGGGTGGTGAATTCACTTACCTACCCCAAAATGGGATCCCAAAACGGTTTTGACCACCACAGCCACTTCCACCACGCGGCACACGTTTTCGGCCCCTCCCGCGGTCCTTGATCTTCGCCTGCAGCTTCTGCCGGCTCTCCGGGGGCATGGCGCGCGCCTCCATCTCCATCTGCTTCACCGCCTGCGACCCAAAATTCGCTCTTTGAGGACCCCAAGACTTGACCCACATCTGAGGTACACAGACCAAAAATTGCCTTCAGAGTGCATCTGTTTTGCCAAGCACCAGGCAAACAAACAAACGCACAAACAAACAAACAATCAAACAAAGCCAAGCAAGCTCAACAAAAAAGTTGAGAACACTCGCCACCAGCCATCCGCCATCGAGCTCTCAGCCACCTGCTCCGCCCGGTTGAAGCGCTTCTCCGCCTCTTGCAGCTCCTGGCCGTGGGCCAAGGCCAGGCCCTCCGCGCAGAGCCGCCTGAAGTCCGCCTGGCGTGGCGGGCGGTATCTGGCGCCGTGCCGTTTCTCAGGAGGATGTCCGGCAACATGGTGGCTGGATTTGTGGGTGTCATGTATGCCAGGGGCCGTGGTTTGATGGAATTTCGGGCAAAATGGTTGGTGGACTTTGGTTTTACCATGACACTTCCCAAGTAACATGTAGATTCCCATGGTCAAAGCTCCTCATGGGAGCCATGATCATGGCTCCCTTAGGAATCCAATCAGGCCCAGGTGCAAGGCCTGTGCTCGACGTTGGGCCCCTATCCGCACCCAATACCTGATTTTCCATCTACTGCATGTACAAAGAGGGGGCCCCGACTGGAGATGGACCTCCTTTTCTCTGGGGTGGGTTGTTGAAGGCACCCGGCCTCATACTCTTGGAAGAGCTCTGACACAGAGACCTGCGACATCTGCCGCGCAAAACACCGCCCGGCACGTTCTCCTTCGCGCGGTCCGAGTGTAGCCCCGCTAAGGGCCCTTTGGCCCGCGGGCTGGCTAGAAGCTGAAAGTCTGAAGGGATAAGAGTGCTCAGGGTCTTGGCTGTGCTTGTTCCTTTCTGGTCGTTCGAAAAGCCAAGCTCTCAGTATGCTCTTGTGAAGGTTTTTGACTGGTCGCTTGTGCGGCGTGTGTTGAAAGCTTGGCCCCAAGCAGCCGCACTCTGAACTTGAAATCTGCGAACTGCACTTGGCCGCTTTGCCTAGACATTGCTTCAAGTGGCACAAGAAGCCACCTGCCCTACAAACCAGTCCCAAAATCGATGCGTGTTGCAACCCTACAGTTTTAGGAAACCTGTCCCAGGTCTTATGACACGTAGCTCGGGCGACTCAGACGCCGCATTTCTCTCCTTCGCTGCGCATGACTCGACCCCCTTCCTTTGAGGACTGAAGGCCGAAGCGTTCGGAAGGCGAATTCGCGAGCACCGGACTAGCTCAAAGCATTCCGCCTGCCTTCCAAAATGTTCCAAGTAACGTCCCTGCCAACATGTAAGCTGCCTGAAGTGGAGCAGGAAGCACTGCCTTGGTTCGGGCGATTGGCAGTCGAACATGCGATAGGCAATCACTGCTTTGCAGGGTACTGCCTTTGGCAATTCGAAGCGAAAAGCAACGAGAGGCAACGAGCCACCTGACAAACGGACATATTGGTTCATTTTGGACTTCCAGCCGGCGATTTCCCCGTGTGCTGTCAACTGAGGCAACCATCAGGTGGCGCGGGCGAAATGGCCAAACCTCAGAGGCCAGAAACGAACAGGACCGCGAGAGAGCCATCACTCGCCCGCGGCGTCCGGCCAAAAGCGCCGTCGAGCTCACACGTCGTCAGCTGCCCTGCAGAGGACCGAGGGGCCGTTGGGCAGGGGATTCCCGGAGCAGATTTGACTAGGATGCGTCAGCCCATTCATTGGTAGTCGGGTGCAAGGGGCGCAAGGAAGATTGAAGCCGAGGAAAAATAGCTGTATGTCAATCCCCGTTTGGTTTGCTTTAGGGGCAGTTGAACGTCATTGACCATCCAGCGCCTTAAAAGGGATGCAACTCACGATAAGCCTGTCGTTGTTCAATGCATATGGGCTTCCCAAATGAGGAGATTGAAGTGGAGCCGTTCATGCTCTTTCTGGAAGGAGCCCTCACTTCCTGAGTGGTTGGCCACAAAAAAGACTCTGACCCTTTTCATTTGCCAGCAAAATGATCTTCCCACAAGGTTTTAAATTCCAGGAACTCCGGAAGTGAGATAACCTTTTTGGCCTGTCTCATGTTTTCATCGGCCTCTTTCGCCTGTTTCGCCTGTTTCGTCCGGATTCCCCGCCAAACCGCCGGCCCCCATCAAATGGGAGGCCTCAAGACCGGACGGCAGGGCCATCAGCACTACAATGGCACCTGCGGGCGCGTGACTTGCGTGACTTGCCGGTGCTTCTCTTGGGCCAATTGAGTGGACCTAATTAGAGACGGCCCCGAACATACGATGCAGAAGATACAAAACCATGGCTAGATGCTGGATCCCTGGCACAAGCAGCTCGACATGTAGTAGGGTTACAGCTCTAAACAAGTAATCAATAGGGGGGTCTTGAATCCCTTGCCACGAAAGATGCCGGCTGGGCTGGTGTGGTGCATCTCCCTCACGCAAGCCTTCATTCATGCGAGTAGCGAGTGCCAGCACGGGGATTGCTGCCCAAATCAGTAGCAGCAGGTGGTGGCAGTATGATCTAGCATGAGCCGCCTCCAAAATGGTCTTCCAAAGAAGTTGAAGGATGACAGTTCAAAGCTCAAGGGGCAATAAATAGACTGAACATGTTCAAAGGTTGCTGTGAACGTGCGACGCTTCCCAACCATTTCCTGCCAATTAGCTCGCTGGCTTTTTCCATCCGCAACCATTCCGTACCCTAACCTCAGCGCTCCTTTGCTCGCCGAGGGTATGCTTTCGGCCCAGTGACGCCCATGCACTCAAGAGGCACTTTTCCTTTGCCCCAATCCCAACAACTGGATACATAGTCTTGTCTCCAAATATGCAAAGCTCTAAGATAGATGGCTTTCTTTTTGGCCTCCCTTTGGAACTCGTCCCTTCAAACGAGCTGAGAAGCCAGAAAGACCAGCCCTATATACTGAGACCCTTCAAGACATCCGCCTCAAGCGCCAAACCCGGGTGAAGCGCCCTTTGCGAGAGAAGCAGGTGGTGAAACCAACGGACCTCCAACTTGCCCTCTGACTCTGCCTTCGTACTTCACCCGCACCCCGAGCTGTCAAATGGCCCCCATGCTGGTCACTTAGCAAACCATACAGCCCGTGGGACCCTCCATGTAATGCAACCACTGGCAGAACAAAAGGGCGCGCGCACCATTGGTGGTCCAGCAGTGCTTCACCCCATCGAGGATGGCCCTGGTTATCATCTTTCGGCTTCTTGGATGCACAGCCAAACCTCTGCAGGGAATGAAGCGGCCCCCGAGGGACAAAAAGGGTGTTTCGAAAACTAGGGTACCTCCCTAGGGCGCTCAAGGAAGCACAAGGGAACAAAACATCTCGGAGGCACCCTGTTTTCGGAGACGGCGCAAGCAAGTCTTTGTATGTTGCGCTAAAACGGCGAGGGAAATTCTGTGGCCAGGATTCGGCATTCCAGATTCTGAACCCGCGTCGCGTCAGGAGCTTTCAGATCTCCATCCTTGCCAAGCTGACTGCGATGCACAGGTATTGGTGACACTGCAGCGTAAACGGCTGCCCTTTCCTATGCGCAGCATGGCTCCAATTACCAGCATGCGTCAGCATCTGCAAGGACAGTGATCAAGTTGCTTGGGGCCCATGCTGCGCGGGGTGGGGATGGTGCACAAAACCAACATAAGGCATCAAATAGTACTGACCCACCAACAAGAACGACTTTGGCTTGTTGGAAGGTGTCTGGGCTGGTTGGGGCTGCGTTTTAGCAGCACCTGGAGCATGCCGGCCTCTCTAAACGCTCAACAGGGCTCCTGGCGCCTGTCCTGGGCGGAGCGGAGAAGGCTGCAACGTGGCTCTGTGACTAAGTGCTTTTTGTTCAGACATGGCAGGAAAGCCCCAGAACCTTCTAGGCTTCTGCATTCGGAACCAGTAAGACTATCGCGTAGGCACCCCTGTTTGACGCCACACTTTTCAATGCCTGCGACCCAACTCGTGCACGCGACGCCGAGCCACTGGTCACTGCCAAGTCGGACGGCCTGGGGGGAGCCACCATCAAATCATCAGGCCTGGCTCGGAACTGCCGGTCTGCAAGCATGTGTGGCCTTCCCTTGTCCCTTGTGAATGCGCAGGCTGAGGGGGCCGAGAAAATGCCAAAATGGGCTGGAAACATAATCCCATCCTCTTTTTCAGTTCCCTTCGGGTCAACCAAAAAATCTGGGCTTCGCACCCAGCCAAGGTGAGCTTCCAATCTGCCCGGCCAGCCTCCTCCAGGACCTCGTACACCAGCTCGGCCGCCCGCGGCCGCGCGCGCGAGGCTCGCACACCTACCGAAAAGAACGGTCCCTTGAAAACTTCATGAAAAAGGGGTGGAAGGGTTCTAAAAACCAGTCTGGTGGCTTGGCGGTTCAGGGCCACCAATGATTGGCCCTATACCCTAGCTTTTGACCCCATTCCAAGTACAGCAATACGGTTTGTGAGTCAGGGGTTGCTAACCTAGCCTGTGGGACGCAATGATAACCAGCAAGACCACAACCATCTGGCATAAGTACCTCACCCAGGTGCCTCCGACGCAGAAGAAGGTGACGAGGCAGCCCATCCAGAAGCAAGCCACCCCTTCCACGATCTCCTTGTGCTCCATGTCCTGGAGAAATTCAGGTGCATGTGCAGCACATACGCGCGCAAGACTTCGTAACGTTGACCTCCAGGATTGAAAAAAAAATCCGTCCCACCGGGCCTCCAAAAGTGAGGACCCCCCCCCGATCAAAATCAGCCAGGCTGGTCGATCCGGGCTTCACTGGGGCCAGGGAAGCCGGCCGACGGCCGACATCGGTGGGAAGGCTCTAAGGTCAAATCCGGGTGAAGCGCCGGCCGACCGTGTGGATGGTTCGAAACCCAAAAACCGCAAACAACATGTCCACCACTTGCGCTAGCGTTTGGACACATGGTGGTTGATCTAAATTCCTTTGTCTCGAAACGGCCATTCTTCGCGAATAAAAAAGTTACTTTCGCGAATCTTTCGCGGATTCATCGCCGTGCTCTTTTCATTTCTCGAGTCGGAGAATCGCAGCTTTTAAGTGCCAGCGTTGTAAGCGAAATGACGATTTCCCAACTCCAGCTGTAAAGTCGCAACTTTTCATCACAGGGGTAGTACATGACATGCGCCGGCTGGAAAGTCGCAGCTTTTCGTTCGCCGTGCAGCTCCAGCTTGAAGTCGCAGCTTTCCAGTACCAAGCTAGTATACTGACTAGATCGGCGCTCAGACTATACCTCCCCTTGCAATCGAAGCCTGCGCTTTCGCGCGGGCTTTCGCGGATCTTTCGCGGATCTTTCGCGAAACATCACCCACGTTTCAGAGCGGAAAGCCACCGACTAACACCCACAGACACACATACACAGGCTTGGAGCACTAACCAGCCAAGCAGGGTATCAAACTGTAGCCTCACCAGGCTTAATCAGCGCAACATCAACTAAGTGTTTTAATCAGAATAGAAGGAGGCTCAGCAGAAAAGATGAACGGTTCCACATATCATTGATTAAACAGATACAGTTACGCAAAACTTTCGCGAGAAAAAAAGTTACTTTCGCAACTCCATCGCGAATCTTTCGCGGAGCTACCTCAACCAACACCGATGGTCACCGAATACTAGACTCCTTACAAGGACCTTTAGAACGACTCCCACATAGGCAAACTCAGCATGAAAGAGGTTCCTCTTTTTTTGAGGTGCGCGTTTTTGGTACTGCAAGGGACCGACCCCAGTCACAACGTGAAGAGGAATCAAGGCGCAAGATGTCACTGATCTCTATGAAGGTATTGCGCGGGAACTTGGTACTGCTCTTTCGCAACATCTCGTGACAGGACATGTTCAGAAGGCATTCAGAAGGTCCTGCACAAGATCTGCTTGCAGGATTCGTCCTGTACAAAAAGACATGTTTGCAACGGCTCTATACAAGGCTCTTTTACTTCGTAGGCTTTCTGCAAGACCTGTTCCTGGAAGATCATGCACAGCTCTCATATGAACGGGCTTGCAAAAGACTGCCCCTGGGCCCCTTGCGAGATCTTGACAAGATCTCGGTGTAACTCTTTCGACGACTCTTGCGCAAGCAGAAGCTCTCCGTGAAAGAGCTGTTGCTAACTAGGCTCACAAGTTAGATCCTGCAGGCCTCAGAGGATCTTTACAGAAGTATCTGAAGTGAATCTCTCCATGAAGTATATCTGAGGAGTGGAGATCCTCGCAGATCTTAGATCTTGTACAAGGCTCCTGCACCTTCTATGGACCTTCTGAGATTTGTGCCACAGCAAGAACGACTGGTTCAAAATTCGCCCAGCGCCAGAACACAAGGCCGATTTCCGAAAAGGGCTGGCTTTCGATGTTGAAAACCGGCACAGCAAGAGCGGTTGGAAACAGCCAGTCTGCAAAAGGGTTCGCTTTCCATATCGTCACAGCAAGAGCGATTGGATAGCGCCACAAGGATTCGGCTTCCGTGTTCAAAGTTTGGCCGCGCCACAGCGAGAGCAGTTGAACGCAGTGAAAGTCCGCAAAGAGCCAGCTGTCGGCTTCAAGATCCGCACCACAGGAACGTCAACGCACCCAACCCCCGCAAAGATTGCGCAAATCCACAATCCGCGGAAAGCGCTCGGCACCAGAATGAGAGCACGCCTCCAACACACACAAACACACACACACACACACACACACACACACACACACACACACACACACACACACACACACACACACACACACACACACACACACACACACACACACACACACACACACACACACACACACACACACACACACACACACACACACACACACACACACACACACACACACACACACACACACACACACACACACACACACACACACACACACACACACACACACACACACACACACACCTGCGCGATACGCCTTATGTGGCGCCTGCGCAGGTGAAAGACACCTGAGCGACATGAGAAGGAACTTTCGTGCGAGCCGCCTCACACGAAGAGGTCCCGATCACAACACGAACCTCCAAACGAACCCTGGAGCTAGGTCCATACACATGCACATACTCGCATCTACTAAAACAAACTACATAAGTATATGCATAAAACAATCTAATCAACTATTGCGTACGTATATACATATCATTTGTGTGTGTGTGCATGTATACATGCATGCATGCATGCATGCATGTATGCATGCATGTATGTACGTACGCAGGCATGCATGCATGCATGCATGCATGCATGTGCGTATGTACGTATGTGTGTATGTACGTATGTATGCATGTATGTACGTACGTACGCATGTATGCATTATACAATGTATGTGCGTATGTATGCATGTATGACTGTATGACTATACAATGTATGTACGCATGTCTGTATGCATGTATGTATGTATGTATGTATGTATGTCAAATCCCGAGTGCAGTCAGGAACCAACGAATAGCAATAACAGGTTTGCCGTTAGCGACCATCGGCAAAGAACTGTGTTTTTCCTTTTTTGAAAGGGAAATGATGGGAAACCAATCAAGCAAAATGTTTAACACGTAAGCTGACTTTGACAGTGGACTCGAAAGGTGACAAGGCTTGGTTGCGTTGCTCACGGAGGCTTGAAAGATCCTATAGGCAAGAGACCGGCTTCATCTTTGGCCTGCAGAAGTCCTCAAGTGCTTGAGGGATGGTAGCGACGTACCCTCCCTCCAACGAACCCCTCAAAAGGAGATGAATCTTCCAGGTACCTCCCCACAGGTGCCATGTTAGTTGGAGGAAGGGTAGTCATTTTCCAACAGGTCCAAAGCCTAAAGTGGCCAAAGGTGAAAGGAGAAACCATCAAAAAACAGCCAAAGAGTCCGCGATCAACGAAGCTCTTAAGAGCTTGCCCCGCCTGCGCACGCCGCCGCAGCTTCTCGTATTTCATGGCCACGTTCCTCAGCAGCCATGGGATGCCGAGGAAGTCGCAGGAACGGCACGATAAAATTTGTCGATAACACAGAACTAGGCTCAGGTGACCCTTCTAGAATACGACTGTAGATGGCACCAGCATTAGCTAGTCTAAACGAAACTGACCTGCTTGAACGGACATGCCAGCCGCAGCGTCGGGCCCGCAGACATGCTCATAAGCACATGCCGCACTAGGGGCCTCGAGTATCATCAAGTCTGACGCCCCCAAGTTGCGGATGGCCTATCCCCGAATTTCATATCCAGGAATGTCTCTCTCAGGTCAGGAATGGTTATTTGTATTCCTTGTGAGTCCTGTCGAACCTCCTTCCCAAGTTTGCCCCCAGGGTGCTCTCTCTTTTGCTCCAAGGCTTGTGGGAGCAACGCCGCGCGGCTTCTTCGGTTTTGCCGCAATGTCTGCTGCCCATTCTGCATCTGCGTCTGCTGCTGCTCCGGTATGCTGCTCCTGTGAAGGTGCTGTTTGCCATTCCTTGCATCTGGCCCTGCCGTTTGCTGCAACATGAGGACTCCCACCATGCCACGCCCAAGCTTGCATTCCAGGCGTCGACACATAGTCAGGCAGCTCATGTCGAGCTTTCTCCGTGAGTTGCAAGTGGCGGCCTGAATTGACACGAACGTCTAAAGAAGTTGCGTGCTGCAGTCCGACAGTCCACTGGCAGTCGTTGACCATCGGCCAAGATTGGCCAAGCCTTCAAGCTACTTTCCTGACATGTCAAACAGCATGGCTCTGGGTCGCTGACGTCGCCGCCGCTTGCCGCCCTTGCCACAGGTAACAGTGCAGTCGCTCCACCTAAGCATGCACACATGGCAGATGCAATCTCCCGAGTTCCAGCAAGTGTGCCAACATGCTTTTTTGCAGAAGCCAGCCGGGCCGCGAAGCGTCCTGAATCTCCCAAAATCAAGGATCCCCGCGTTGCCCACAAAGCCACACGCGAATGCGCTTGCATTTGCAACTCAGACATGGCTTCACATATGAAAAAGCCAGCGACGGCCAACTGACAGGAATCCGAGTGTTTGTTACAACGTTGCGTGAGTCCCTCAAGGTTGCTGATAAACTAGCTGTCTGGGGCAAAATCAGTTGATTTTGTCCCATGCGCCATATTTGCTTACAAGGCGCCTTTTCAAGACGTCTTAAGACCCTCCTGCCTGTCCTTCTCGGAAAAGGGTTGGGCCGGGGTTGAGCAAAGCAACATCCTCATGCTCCAACCTCCTGCTGTGATCCCTCTTCTGCCCATACGGGGAGGGACCTCTACGGCTCCTTTTGGCCGGGGGGCTCGCCCCACACCGTCCACTCGCAGAACTTCTCGCCGCTGCATCGCCGGGGGCACTTCCCGATCTCCATGGTGCTCTTGGGAGGGCACTCTGCGCCTCCTCAGTGGTGGGTATGGCTCAAGATGAAACCAGGAAATGTGACGCCGGAGTTTTTCGGCCTGGTTCCATTTGCCAGGCTTCCATTTACCAAATATCAGGCCAGGGAAACTGGGCTCACGGTTCTATGATTTCTATCATTGTCAGCCCTCTGGTGGGTTGAAGGGATTTGATAAAACCTAGAAACAGCGAGAATCATGACCCTAGGGAAAAAACATCGGGTACCTGGTGCGTGTGTATGTGCGGGTGCGGGTGCGGGCGCGGGTGTTGGTGCTGGTGCGGGTAAGCGAGGTGACAGATCAGCTGGACGGATGCGCAGCTTTCAACTGAGCCAGCAGCCGTATCGAGGGAAGGAGTCGATGTTCCTGACGGCATTCACCATTCACTGATACGTGCCAACGAAGGCCGAAGAATTTTCGTGGCGGATGCGCCTGCCTGCTATCTGATAAGCATGCCTCATCCTGTGTTTGCCTACAAGCTTCTACCCCCAACTAAAATGCATGCTGTATACATTTGCCAACTTGTTCTCAAACTTAATTGACACATAATGTCAAAAGAAGACACAAGGTCATTCATTCACTCCGGACACTAAGGCCGATTGTACATCAGGCCGCGACAAGGGTGACACACACACACACACACACACACACACCCACACCCACACCCACCCACCCACCCACCCACACACACACACACAAGCAGCGCCAGTGAACTTGCTATCCCGCGCCTGACCCGAGATCGCTCACCTCGGCTGGCCCAGCGACGTGTTCATTTTGTTTTGGTGAATATGGGCCTCACGGTGGCAACCAACACCCAAACTCATTGCGCCATGGGCAAACCACAGTCTTGGGGCCATGGTGACAAACTACAAGGGTCCGATGGCTATCCTCACCAAGGGCACCGTGTTGACCACACCTTTGCCACACCTTCCGAGCCAAGCAGCCGTTGCACTTGTCGCAGTCACCCCACTCTTTCCACGGGGAGAATAGGCAATCCACCGGCTCAGGGCCGCCACACATGTGGCGGTTGCATTCCTGCCGTCCGCGTAGGCACAAAGAGGACGTGGGAATGTCATGGCATGATGTCCAGGGAGCCCCGAAAATTCAGACTTTAAGTTCAAGGGCGGGGGATATAAAAAGGTAGTATAAAAGCCTGTTGCACCTCCCTTGCGGTGTTCAAAGGAGCTTGACGCGGCAACTACCCATCTCGAAAGCCCCCAGGGGCTGCCAGCAAAAGGGCTCGGGCATAAACATTCCCATCTGGGAGGGCGTTCCCAATTCAACCAACCCCTTTCCGGAAAAAAGAAAGAAAGACAAAAAGCTAAGGTGTCAACCCCCTCCCCCCCCCAAAAAAAAAGAACAGAAAGGAACAGGAACAAAGAAAAACAACAACCAACGGCTTCGTCTTCGCCTTCAGCTCGGCCATGCCCCCGTCGCAGGTGCGGCCCCCGTACTTGGGGTGCCGCAAGATCTTCCGCTCCCGGAGGTGCTCGCCGCCTCTGACGCCCCACTTTTTTTGCCGGGACTGGGCGGGATTTTTGTTTCGCTAGGTTGTCCGGGACTTTCCCCCCGGTTTAGGGGTTTAGGGATTTAGGGTTCAGGGGTTTAGGGTTTAGGGTTTAGGTGGATATGTTTCGCTAGGTCCTCCGGGCTGATTCGGACCCAGATCTGAACAGAAGGAAGCCAAATTCTAGGTCCTCCAGTTTTGCGAGGGTAGAATAAGGGTACCCGATTTGTCTTTTTCTGTAGTCTATTTTAGTAGGAGAACCCTCCCCCAAAAAAGGGGAGAAGGGCACTACTGGGGGACCTAGTTTGGGTTTGGGGTAGGAGTGGGGCTGTTTGTGAGGAGCCATGGCCCAGAATCGTCTCCCCCAAAAGCCTTTGAGACTCAAGATCTTAGCTTCCTTTCAAGCCAATGGTTCCTGTGTCACACTTTCTGGGCACCGTGGTTTAGGGTTCGCCTTACTCCCAAAAAGGGCTCCGCCAATGCACATAATTGCGGGGGAGAATTAGAAAGTCGAAGCACGCTTCCACTCTATCAAATTAACCGTGCCGGACCATTGTGATCGAAGCCGGGAACCAAAAGCAAACCGACCCCGACACCAGTTTAGACATCAAAACTCACCAACACAACAAGGTTCATCATGTGCGAAGTCGCAAGCAAACCCTCTTGTGAAGTCGCTAGACTTTCTCCAATGTCATGTGTGAGTTGTGGCCGTAATTGCCTTGATAGGTACCCCAAACCTTCCGAATAGATGCCCAAAAAAAAAACCTTTATGTTTCTGTAACCGTTGTAACCCCATCCTTTGAACATCCTGTTCATTCAGGTTGCATCTGAAGGGTGCAACCATTTCTAGAATCAAATTGACCGGGTTGATTCACCGGTCGATCCTGCAGGTCCCTTGGCTTCGCGTCCCTTGGCTTCGCCTCCGCAGCTCACGCTGCACATGCTCCAGGAGGTCCACTCGCTCTGCACACAGTCCACCTACCACCAACGGGAGAAATCCCCGGGACCCGGTGGCCCCTTGGTGGAAAGATGATATGATACCTACCCCCTCTCCCCTCCCCCAGTCGCACAAACGGCAACCGGAATCCGAGAGCTCGAAATGCAAGTCAGCGCAATTTGAGCTCATATCCAAGACCTGGACGGCCGGAAAACGGCGAGCCTAGCAAAAGGCCTTGAAGCCATGGCATCTATGCATGGTGACTGAGTTCGCTGGGTTCAATGATCTGAATGTGTCAGCCAATCTAAGTTTGCATATCACTTGCACAAACATGCAGCTGTACACGCATAAGCACATACAGGGAGAGGGAGAAGGAGCAAAAGGAAAACGCGACTGGGTCCCCCAACGAACCTCCGCCTTTCCCAAGGTGGCCAAGTGGCTGGATCTCCTCCGGCGCATTGCTCCGAGGCGGTCTCCCCTGGCCGATGGGATGGACAAAATGCCTCTGAGAGCTGCGGGGCTCCCTTGGCATCCATTTGCCTCGTCGCCCGGGAAAAACTGAAAAATTATGATGGATCCCAAGGTAAAATAACACATGTTCTGAAGCAAATGGAAGCTTAGCATCCAATCACGGCTTTTTTTTGCTCCCAGATGCAAAACCCCAAGTGTGGGATTCTGTGAGGGGATGCTAGGTGCAGCGTGCAAATGGAAGGTTGGGCCCACGGAAGTACGTAAGCAGGTTCCCACTGAAGTGGGCTGCAAGCAGGTTTGACCAGTGGACACCATCTACTTACAAACACGGTGATGGGCTGCTCTTTCAGTGGGCCGCAGGGATTCCATGTTTGCCATCTTGGAACCGAGTGGGGGTGCCTGCTTCTAGCGAGGAGACCCTGCAAAAAAGGTGGATTGTGCCGTCCAGGCAAGGGTTTTGCCCCCCCCCCCCCCCGTCAAGCGGTCAAGAACGACATGCGATCAGAAAGTTCTGGGACTCTGAATGCTGAGGGACACTCTGGTCGAACAGGACGACAGAAGTTCATGTCAGATAAGCAGAGCCAAAAGCTTTGCGCATCTCTGCGCGCGCCTTTAAAGCGAACACACGTTTCCAGGCATAGGTATCCTCTTGGGAAAATAGATGGCCTGGCAAATAAAATGACACCCATGGAAACCAGTGCCATCTGCTTTCAACCAAACCTTACCCGCAAAGGACACCTACTGTGCATGGACGAAATCCATTTCGCACCACCTAAGAAATCCTGGAATGATGATTCCCCTGTAAATACCAACAAGCACTGGCTTCCCCTGGTTTCCAAGTGGTGCGGGTTGGATATCGTTCATCCACAGTCTGTGTCCAGGGATTACCTGTCGACCCAAGGGGCCGATTTGCCTCAGCTCGCGCGCGCGCCCCGAGCCCCGCCTGGCGAAGGGTTGCAGGGCTCCACTTGCTTCAGGCCGCCGGAGCACCACACGCCGGAGCCTCGAGATGGCGATCACCCGGAAAGCTCGGGCTTCTTAGGGCTTCATTCGGAACAACTAACAAAGGTACCCTCCTGTCCACAAACATGGAACCTATCAGAGGGTCCCTTTCAAAACAGAAAGGTCTTCCAGGGCCCCTCAGTCAGGTTCCGTGTTAGTGGACAGGAGGGTAATCAATCCATGTTGGTGGACAGGCTGGCTTGCGGTCAGGAACCTATCATTCAAGAGTCTGGGATTCGTAAACTCTAGCTCGTGTGGCTTTATCACCTGGCCGGCAGACAGGCATAGCTGAGCTCACGCTGCCCAAATCACTGCCAAGCACAGGAAGAAACAAAATGAGCTTTGGCAGCGTCTGCAAACTTAGAACGTGCCTCGGCACTTTGCAAGAATATCAGACGAGTGTCCAGAGTTAGCGCCCTGCCTCCTTGTCCGTCAAGTGGATCTTTCTGGTAACCACCATGAGCGGACAGCGGCTATTGAAGTTCAATCGGTGCCAGACTTGCTTCTACCACCAAGCCGCCCGAGACCGTTTCTGTAGGCTGGGTGCCTCCGAAGCCCTCCCGGGTTTCAAGTTGAATGGTGGCATCTGGACGGCGCTGCCTTTGTTGCTACCATTGGTCCGGGTGAAGCCTCCCAAGAAGCCAATGGGAAAAAACGTTGGAACGGGAAGCCCGGGCCAAGTCAGGCACCTCACCTCAGCTCGCCTAGTGAACGTGAACTAAGGGGGGGGTGCATTCACCCAAGAATGTTTAAAGGTTGCCTCTCAAAACGGACAGCCCCCTATGAAGCAACCAGGAGCTTTCTTAATCCTAGGTTCCTTTAGGCGATGGGCTCAGAGATCTAAGCTGCCCCCCTTAGGCTCAAAGACATGTTCGTCAGACCCTGGGACCTGCGTCCGCACTGCCAAAGTAAGAGCTTCGGACTGCAGGTATCCAGGGGTGTTGTTGCCCAAAGGCCAACCACGCACTCAACTCTAGAAATCATTCCTGCAGAGCAAGTTCTTGCCCCAGATACACTGCCAAACCGGACTCTGTGTATTTCCGGGTCATTTGGAGAAGGGCGCCTCGGGTTCTCCCCAAACTCACCTCCTGGGTGGCTACGCCAAGCATAGTGTGAAGCCTTTGTTTTCCCTTCAAAAACAGAGTCAATCCAGGAAATGCTATGGATACTAAGCACCCGAAGACTGCCCGTTGCTCTCTCACTGCCCCGTCCCCTCGTCCCGTCGTCCCCTGCCCGCCTAGGCCATACTCCTCCACTTTGCGCTCCCGGGTCTTGATGCCGTTGCCTCAGTCGGGGGCTTCTGGAACCTGAGGCAGTCACACCTGATGGAAGGATTCTGACCGCTTTGGGGGATATGGGCCCTGTCCATCCTTTCAACACAGCCGTGCCCGGCTTTGGGCTCCCGATATGTTCAACCCATAAACATCCCCCCTCTATCGATGGGGTTTCGGCTCACTGCTTTCCTTCTGCAGTTAAGAACCCTCGCTCAGCTCCCATGAATCGCCCCGCAGAAAGAGACTCACTTGGAAAAGGCCCAAGAAGTGATGGCATATGAGTGTAGAGAGCCTTCCCCTTCGGGGGAGGCCATGCAGGGACTCGCCTATTCCGGATGCAAACCAGCAACTGTTTCAAGGGAGCCTGTGACTTGGTGGACTCTGCCTGCCGCAATTCCACCAAACCCATGCCCCAAGAACCGCCGATTCATACCTCAGGCAGCCCATTTAAAGAGTACGAGGCGCAGGTTGAGGAACAAGCACCCCAGGTGGTCCAATGGGACATGATGCAGTCTCTGGACTCGCCGCAAGACCTGACAGGCAGGGCTTGGTTTAGGGTGGGTTTTGGGGTTGGTTCAATACAGCTTTAGGGTCGGTTTGCCTGATCAGCCACACCGCGGTGGTGAGCCAAACACCTTCTGACGCTGCTATAGCTCAGATATCAACGGCAGGATGATTGCCTCTTTGAAACCAAAAAGGCTTGGCCTAACTCGCAAAACATACCTGGTGGGACCCTGCCGCCCTCATCGGTGGCTTGGATTGGTGGTTTGGAGCTCGAGGGCGACTTCCCATTCCGCCTAAACGACCAGGGTGATTGACCTGAACTGTAGCCATACCTCGAATTGCCTCTAATGGCGGAGTCCCCAAAATGTGCAGTACCAAGAGTATCCGCGCCAAAAACCAACGACACTCCTGGCTCCTGGCGGAGTCCCGCTCACATGAAACGGGAGGTGTGTGTGTGTGTGGGCAGGGGGTGGAAGCAGTTGTTCGATTCTGGGCAAGCCATAAACGGAATCCTCAAGTTTCTGGGAGCGCTTCATCCTGGAGCTCGTTTCTTGGTCGACGTCGGAAGGGGAGCAAAAGTTTATGTTTTTAGCAGTTGAGTGGTTGGATTCCAACCTCCAAACCACAATAAGCAGAAATAAGCAACATGCTTCCCAACAACAACCATGGCTTGACCCGAGTCGAAATCGGTGAGCTCAGGTCCGGGCTCCATGTTGCAGATGCCCGTCTCGTGCGCCTTCCCGGGCGCGGGGCACCCGCAGGCGCTGGCGTTCTGAGCAATCGATCCTGAGACACGCGGAGGGGGCGGCCGGGTGCCGGGCCACTGCGTTTCTGGAGGGATGGGGGTCCTCATGTGTTTCATGACGTGCACCCGGATGGGGCCTGGTAGTTTGAAAAAAGTTGGCCCGTCCCTGCTAGCCGCTTCCCACTGCCCAGCTGCGAATGCGGAAGGTCGTGCCACCATCGCAGCTGGCAGAACACTCCGCCCTGGGCGCATTTCGCACTGCATGGACCTACAGCACACCTTTGGCACCTCCTCTTATCTACCTCAGTTTCCGGGGGAAGCATAAACCAAAAGCTCACTTGGCTAGTAACCAGCCAAAAACAAGTGTGCACTTTGTTACTCACCCTGAAACAAAGAAAAAGCGTCTCCAAGCGAAAAGTGCAAAGTGCGTCCACTGGCTGCGCGAGAAAACCAACCCGCCCATCCCCCCCCCCAGATATTCCCCAGTTCCCCCCCCCCCTTTCAGGGGTCCATGAAAATTCCGGGGAAAACGCATCTACCAAAAACCCACCCACCCACCCGCCACCGCTTCGCTTCGCTTCGCTCCGCTCCGCTCGCGTTTTGGGGCCCCGCGCCAGGCGCTCCACAAGCCCCACTTCCCGTCTTGGCAGGCGCTCTCGCCGCCTGGGGCCAAGAGCTTGGAGAAGAAGAAGCTGTGGAGGTGGGTCCATAGGTTTCCGTTTCGGGCACCCCCAGGTTTGACCATGGGTAACTTTTGCCATGTGGGAAAATTGTCATATGTTGTGCATGTGTATATATATATATGTATATATATATATGTGTATATATATATATATATATGTGTGTTTTAGTGGCTTTCCCCAATTGTCATCCCACATAAAAGGAGCTTTTGATCAAGCCTATGGGCGGCCTTCATCTTTTGTTTTTGGGTGGCTTCCAGTGAGAAGACGATTTAGCAAACCTCACTTAGGCAGAGCTGTTGTTGGTGCTACCTTATGCGGAGCGCTCTAAATGGATCAAGGGAAACCAAAGGTGCGGATCGTGAAAGCAGTGCCGGGAGACAGGCCAGGCGCCACACACAAAAACACACACAATTGAGCATGCGAGCTACCAAGCAAACAGAAGCAGGACAAACGGACAAACAAGCAAGCAAGCAGGCAATCAAGCAATCAAGCAAGGCAAGCAGGCAAGCAGGCAAGCGGGCAAGCAAGAAAGAAAGAAAGCAAGCAAGCAAGCAAGCAAGCAAGCAAGCAAGCAAGCAAGCAAGCAAGCAACAACAGGAAAGCCAGGAAGGCCAAGAAAAAAAGGAAAGCAAAGAAAACAAAGAAAGCAAATCAAACAAAAAGCAATTAAACAAAAAAAGAAAGCAAAGAAAGCAAAAAAAGCAAAGCAAAGCCAAGCCGAGCAAAGCCAAGCAAAGCAAGCACACGCACAGGCGCCCACCCAGGCATGCACGCGCGCCCGCCCACCCGCCCGCTCACCCGTACGCCACAGTTTGCACTTCCAGCGTCTTCCAGCTTGCCCCTCTCCTTGCTGGGCGGGTCAAAACCCTTTTCAACAATCCAGCTGCATCCATAGAATTTCCTGGCTGGGGTAGACACTAAGAGACCCTTGCGGTCCAGCGTCAGGGCTGTGTGTTGCAGGCGCGAATCTCAATCTTGTCGCTGGGCTCGCAGCCTGCAGTGCCGGGGTAGGTTCAGGTGGAAAACCACCATGTTTGGAGGAAGCTCCTTTTGGGGGACCCCTTTTTGCGGGTTCCATGTTGATTTGCTGGGAGGCTCTCCACCATGCGGTAGTGAAAACCCTCTTCAAAACAAGAGCAGCAGGCACGAGAGGCCAAGTCGGGATTTTGCAAGCAGGAGTCCCCTCAAACTGCCTCAAACCTTTCCACCCATGAGTGCCCATGACACAACCGCAACTTCCCATATCTTCCCATGCGGGCTGTTGTTTTCAGCGTCTGCAAAAACCATGGGCAAACGCAAACCAGCCACCCTACGCCACCCTACGCCACCCAATGCCACCCAATGCCACCCAATGCCACCTGAAGCCACCAGCGCCGCTGCCAGATCTTTCTGCAGCCAAGGGGCGCTCGCCGCCCGCCTCGGGCATGTGGAGCACGAAGCGCTTCCTGTCCTGGTGGCCTGCAGAGCCGCGGGGCGAAATCTGGGCCACGCCGTCAAACAGTTGATCGAGCCCAAACATAGGTGCCCTTTTAGGAGACATAGATGGATATCCCTGGTAGATGATGAAAGCACCAGGCAAACCAGGAATCGCCACCTATTTTGTCTACCAAAACAACCAAAAAGGACACCTATGATCCCAAATGGAATGCCAGCGGACTTAGAGGACTCCCAACGGTGGCTTGTGGATCCCAAGGAACCTGAACCGCTGCTTGAATAGTCTCCTGCTGTTTCCCCTAGGGCGACACACCCTCAGGTGAACTGGTGAAGGTTCTGTTGTTTCTTAGCACTGGGGGGCTGAACGGAAAACCAACATCCAAGCCGCAAGGTGTCTTTCCAAGCTGGCTGGGAGCCTGGCACCCTGCAGCCAACCTCTATGCCAAGTCAACCCTTTTGCATAGAAAGAGGGTAGGGTTTTAAGACTGTCTCCAACTCAACCCTCAAAAGAGGGAAGGGTTGACTTTTGGATTTGGGTTGGTAGTTTGAGGGGAGCCTTCCCATTTTGAACTGTCGCCGGGCCGGGCAGGGCAAATCTCCGAATACAAAGAACCCCCAAGGATTTCTTCGCAGTGAGGTCCATGACGCGGCAGATGCCCTCAATCTTTTCCCCTACTTGGACGACCAGCCCGGTCGGTACGTGGTTGGTGACCTCGGCCAGCATAGCAAGTCCCGAAGTAGGTTGTAGGGTCAATCCTTGTTACAAGGGGATGTATTAAGTAGGCCTGCTAATCACTTACCAAATGTTAAGGTACCAGCTTCCAGGCTCTTGCATGGAAAGAAGGAAAGTCAGCAGCGGAGCACCATCCGGGTCTTCAAACGGCGAAATTGCAACAAACTAGGCACCTGCAAGTGGCCACGGCGAAAAGTGATGGTTCCAACCGAAGACTTAAGTGGAAGGAGAAGGAAGCTGAGGAACTTTCCAACTTATTCGCTCATATCATTTTGCTCAGAGTGCGGAGTTAACTTGGTGGTCAAGACAGCTATGGACCATTCGCGGCAAAGCCACAGGAGGAGCCAACGATGCTATCCTGTAGAAACAAAAACGGAAAAGATACCCAATGGCTCCAAAGTTGTGGCCCGATTGCCCAGCCCGATTTATCCGCAGCAAGTTGGAACAATCAAGCCAGGAGTTGCCCCATCTGTTCATCCATCGCCCCCTTTTGCCTAACAGGAGTCTCTGAACAGAATGGGTGGCATTCATTAATTCACTACTTCCTTCCTTTCTTCCTTCCTTCCTTCTTTCCTTTGTTTCCTTTCTGGCCCCGTAAAAAATAAACCGGATGCCCGTTTGGGCATCTTTGGGCCTCCCATTTTCAGTGGCCTCGAACCAACCAAAGGGCCATTTTTTTTGGAGTGACATCCACGGGCCCCCGAGGCCCGAGGCCGCCCCCCAAGGCCGCCCCCAGCGCCCGGCCGCCCCCAGCCCCCGAGGCAACGCCTCCGCCGCAGCTGCAGCTGCACGGAGCCCAACTCTCCCAGGTGTTCCACACGCAGTCGCGCCGGGGGCACGCCTCAGGACGACTTCGGAGCGCGAAAGAGTTTGAGGAGTCGCTAAGGTTGGCAGACATGAACTGAATCCACATGAGTCAAGCTGACTGGGTAACCATACTTTTGGAGGTTACGTGGGGGTTCAACTCAGAGTTACGAACCGCGCGAACGCGAGAACATGTCTCGGAAGCCTTCCGTGCCCTCTCCGCGCACCACCCCACCATGGCAATGGTTCCAGGGTCAGTACATTTCTCCCTCCCTGTCAGGGAAAGCCCCCGTAGAAAAAAAGCCCAATGCTTGATCCTTCCAAAACGTGTTGGAACTGAGGGGGCCCCCAAAATGGGGCTGGTGGCAACTCCTTGCAATTTGTGCAGCTGTGATGTTTAACCCCGTTGAAAAGGGAAATGAGTCAAAATCAAAACCTGGCATTAAAATGGCCTACCGAAAACCATGAACCGGATCAAAAAACGGCAGAGATCCGCACCGAAATATATGGCTGTGGGTCAAAATAGGTACCCACAATGCAACCCTGGCAAGTGGCAACATGGACCTGGCGGTTCAGTTTCTTGACCCATACCCATGTATTGGGACTATGTGTTACTGACCTTCCGCCCAGGTTTTGAGCCTTGGGTGCTGTAGATCCCCCAGCAGAAAGCTTAACTGTTTGCTGCTTAAAAAGGACATATGAAGGGAATCCAACAAGTTAAAGCCTAAAGATCCAACCCAACAGCGGTAGAGGAGCCAGTGGCTCACTCCTCCAGCCCTCCCCGTCGCCCCCGTGGTGCGCCTGCGCGCCGTGGCAGGCTCTCACCTCCCCCAGGTGGCCCTCAAAGCCGCGGCCGCCCAGGGACCGCTCCTCGATAAACTTCCCTCGTCACTGGGCCCGCGACGTAAAAATTGATGCTGAATGGAAAAACTTGAAAGGCTTTGTTCCAAAGCAGATTCGCAAGAAAGATTTGTGAATGGCGAAGGCGTTGCGAATGACAGGCTACGTCTCCGACGCATGCAAAGGGCGTGGCGCAAGAGCTTGCGTAACCAAAGCCCAGGCAAGTTATTGCAACGCCTCTTTTAGTTTTGGGAAGTGATGAAAAAGCCCGTGTGCATTGCGCACGGCTGTACTAGCGTGCTTTGCAGTCACGCGGTCATTTCGTGCCAGGCGCCTCGTGGCGCTGTAGCCTAGTTCAAGTAGTTGGACAAATGTCGTGACTCATCCTCCCAGCAGTCCTTCAAGACACCGCGCTCCCGCCTCTCTTCTCCTGTCGCACGAGTTGACAAACGCAAATGACAATGATCCACAAACTGGAACAAGCCATCCCCCAGTAAAGACACCTTCATTCGGTTGGTTCGGTGTCAAACTTGGTATGCCACATTGGACCAGCTGCTTGTGAGGTGGCAACTCTCTTGACAGCTGGGCCCGCCAAACAATAGACCCGAACTGGGATTCAACAAAGGCAACCATATACTCTGCATCCCTCCCCTTCACATGTCGAAATCCAATTTGGGTGTGTGTCAAAACAGGGCGACCCCCAGAATGGTGGCTTTCGTATTGGCTGACCTTCCACCCAGGTTTTGAGCCTTGGGTGCTGTAGATCCCCCAGCAAAGAGTTTAACTTTTTGCTGCTTAAAAGGAAATATGAAGGACATATGCCAATTTCAGGAGCCGCACTGCGTCTTGCCGTGCCGTCCTGGCCCGCAGGTGAAGGAACAGCTACTCCAGTCCGTCCAGTCGCTCACCTGCGCCAAACACAAACGGACCCAGCCTTGGACAGCGAATGGTGGCACGTAAGCTTCGCTTGAGTGAGCTCTGTGCAAAATGTTCTGTGTTAGCGTTTGCTTTGCAAGTCAACACCTGCAAGCTTGTCCATTATATACCTATGTGTATATATATATATATATATATACATACCCGTAAGTGTTCTAGCATGACATGTGTATTGTGCAAGCCGTTCAATATCTGTCGCGCCCATTAAAAAAAAAAAAAAAAAAAAAAAAAAAAAAACAACGCACCTGGCACCTTTTGCTGCCCATTTGGCGGAACAAGGGAGGGAATTGTTTGGCGGTTTCGGGGGGGCCAACGTGGCTGACCTTGATCATTATCCCTGGTACATTGATGGTTGATTGTAACCAGGCAAGGGTCAATTTCATGGGCGTCCCTCAGCGCTGTGCTCTTCCCACCTCCGCGTTCCACGTGGGGCACGGCGCTTCCATGCAGCCGCGGGTCTCCATGAGCTCTGCTGGGCACTCCTGAAGGGAACTGCTTGGTTCCATTAGGTAAATCTAAAAGGGTTCTCACAAATGGGTAGGAGGTAACATGATTGTCTCTTGATGCAAGCTGAAACTCGTTCCTTAGAACGGGCTCACTGAGCCGCAACGAGAGCGTGGCAACGCACTCTGTCACACGTAGTACCCTTGGAAAATATGAACTTCCTCAGGAAACCAAAAACGGCATCATGTCTAGAGGAATCTGTTAGTCGACCTGCCATTAAGGCGTCCTGGCCGCCGAACTGGGAAAAGCGCTCGATCTGCCGCTGGCGCCTGGCGACCGGAACAGCACGGGTGTCTGTTTGTTTGTTTGTTTGTTTGTTTGTTCTTTTCTGTTTTTTTGGTTTTTTCGAGGGCACCCTCACCTTGGCTAAAAGGGAAACCAAAAGGCAACACACCATCTTGGGGGTCCCCCTGTGTTGACACATGCCCCAAGTACTGGTTGACAGAGTCTCAACTGGTGTCTCAGTTCCGCTGTCCAAGGACAATGCTTTCTCCGAAGGGATTTCCAGGTTTGGCAGCCCCCTAATGGCAGCAGCCTCTGTGGCAACAACAAATGACTCAAGAGGACATAGGAGATTTACTGAGTCAATTTTCTTGGCAGAAACTAGAGGTCCCCCCATGTCCCTCCCAAACAAAACCAGAAGACTTCACCACGGACAACATTCGTCTCAACTTGGGATTCGTCCTGGGGCGGTATTCTAGTCATGGGAGGCCCCTTGTACGCTGGAAACGACCCATTTGAGGGCCGTTTGGTGGGAAGCTTGGTTGTGTCATCCACGTCCTCTCAAACCAACAGTAGACTACCTGCGCTTTTCTCAGTTTGCTCTACTGTATGGGTGTCTCCCCAAATTAGAGAGCCGTCAATCACTTTGCTTCCGTTTGGCTTACGTTGCTTGAAAACCATCTAAAGGGGGGTTGAAGTTGAAATGTACACAAATGTGTTTCTGCTTTGGTTTCCGTTTAGTATAAACCCAAAACGGGTGCCTCTGGCAAGATAGTAGTCTCTCACCCCAAGGTTGGTATAACCGGTTAGCTCATTTCAACAAGTGAGCCACGGATAAAGTGTGGAGTGTTTAGCGTTCAGTGCTGGAGACCGAATGCAGCAGCGCAAAAAGTAAAGAGCCAAGTCGGCTTTGATCCCGACCTTGAAGGCGAAATATGAAGCCCATGACAATGGAAACTCCAACCTCTGCCAAGTCGAGATGTCAAACCAAACCCCCCCTACCCAACACAAAGAATACCAGCTGCACAGGACCCAAGCCTCTGCCCGCAAGCTTTCGCATTTGTCCCCCGAAGCCCGCCGAGTCGTTCAGTCGCCCAGTCGCCTGGTCTGGCCCTCACCGCAGGTGCGGTCGCAGGGGCCGAAGGTGGTCCACTCGGACATGCGGCAGTCCACCTTCACCAAGCCGCAGGACTGTCCTGTCGGAACGGGACAGGGATGGCCCGAGATCCGCGGCTTGGGCTTGAAGCGAGGCCGGGGGTCTGACGTGGGGTGTGCCCGCCCTCTGAAAGTCGGTGCAAGAAAAGGCTGCTATTTGACACAAATGGCGTGTCCAGAGTCAATGTCGGGATACTTGAAGGGATCCAATCTGCAACTTCTACCCCCCCCCCCCAAAAAAAAAAGCCAAACCCTGTAACAAGGGATCACCGCCAAGTACAGGACCTCTCTCGGCGCGTTCTCTCCCAGGTATATCGACAAATCCAATGAAGCGACTTGGCTCCTTGAGTGGTCTCGCCCACGCAGGGCTGGCCGCCATGCGCTGCCTTCCGCGTGACGCCTCGGATCTCACGTCCGAAGATCTGTCGAAACACGGGACCTCCAACAGGCCAGCTTCATGTGGCTGTGGGTCCAAAATATGTACCCAAAATGGGCTGCCCTGGTAGATGGAAACATGGACTGCAACCTGTGGTCCACGGGTGGTTTTAATTTGACCCACACCCACGTCGGTTTCCTTTGGCAGCCGTCCCCATACCTCGGATTTCGCCGAGTCAAACTGACATTTTCTGGCAGGTCTAGATCTTGCGAAGCTTGACATGTCTTATGACATCATCTTAGAGAGATCTCAGGATAGGGGTCCCCGGTGAAAACATGGCTTGTCTCAAAGTTAGGTCGCGAACTGGTGTTTGAGTTATCTGTCAACACGGAGGAAAGGGGAAAAAACACAACAGAACAGAGGGGGTCCAACAGAAAAGGCACGCAAACATGCTGTAAGCGGTCTCGGTTTGTCCCCCCCCCTGCTGAGTCCTTGAAAAACAATCCTCAGAATTACTCTCCATTGGTGGTTCGCAGGGAAATCAGCCTGGATTTTTTTTTGGGGGGGAGAACCCCTCAAAAATGTTCGCTTGACAACGGGGCCCCCGTTTCGACCACCCTTTGCCCGAAGACCCTGGCAGAAAACAGGAGCACCTTCAAGCAGCTAGGCTCTTTGACACCTGCCTGAAAGAAGCCGCTGGCACCTCACTTTGGGGAAACAGGTGGAGGGTTGAACGGGGGGGAGGGGTGGAGTATGCACCCTCTCCCCCCTTCCCCCTCCCCCCTCCCCTCCCTCCCCTCTCCACCATGTCCGGGCAAGCCGCTCTTGTCGCGGTACATCATGTTGTGCAGGTCGCAGGTGCTCCAGGCCCCCCACTCCCCCAGCAGGCAGTCCACCGCCTCGTGACCCTCGCAGCTGCTGCCTCCAGGGCAACCGCTCGCCGCTCGCGGCACGCTCTCGCCGCTCGCCGGCGGTTTTGGGATCCGTTTTGGGCCGCCTCACTGGCCGGTGAATCCTCGCCCTTAAGCGGTGTCCAAAGGAACCCCGCAAGAAAAGGTCGAACAATGGATACGGATGCTACACACATGATTCACATCACTGACCTTTGTGCAAGCCATCGGAACTCGCTTAGAACACAAAGGCAGCCATGATTGGTGTGGCCCTTTGGCCAGATTTTTCCCACTGGATTTGCACTTAGTGCAGCACAAGCTGGCGCATGCTGGCTCGTGATAATGGATGCGGTGTTGTTTTGTGCATGGGTGGGTTGGCCCCTTGATTGGTGGGCCCTTGGGCCCCCAGTGATGGAAACGATGTGCTTTCTGTTGATTACCCGGCGTCCATTCCTCTCACAAACCAAAGGCACCTGTGGGAGGCCACAAAGAAGATCGATCTTGCAAGTCTGGTGCTTGAACTGCCGCAGCGTGTGCCCAACTGATCTCCAAACAGATCCCAGAAAGCCCGGCTTTAAGATGCTTTAAGACTCGCAAAGAACTGTCCAAAAAAGAGCCCACAAAGGAAGCTTTGATTATGGAAGCTGTAATTGTGCGTGAGGTTGCAACTCCTCTTGCGAGGTCGCCATTTGAATCCCAAAATTGAAGAAGGACGCAAGGGATGCCCGATCCCACAAGACCTGTGTTAGACCATGGCTAGGATGGTGAGGGCAGCAAGACAGGGGAGAGCCACCTATCTAAACAAAGTTGGCACCAACCCTGGGGTAAACCAAACACTTCAATGTTCGGATTCCCAAAACACATGATATGAACAAAGTTTAGCGGAGACCCGGCGCCGTTTCGCACGCTTCCGCGCCATCTCCACCCCTGGCGCCTGCCGTGCAGGTGTCGATCTCCCGCAGGGTGCCGTCGCAGGGATGGCCGCCGCGATGCGCGTGGGACTGGAGCGTTTGCAGATGTGCGGAGACCCGTTTGGGCTCTAACACATGCAAGCTGGAACCTGCTCATTTGAGCACGCTTGGCGTTGAGGAGGGCGATATGGGAGCGAATGCGGAAAACTCCTTTCGGTTGGTGGCGAAGCCAGGCCGAATTGGCCCACACTGGAGAGACCCACACGCTACACAGCGAGAGGCTGCTTGAAGTGAACCCTGTGACCGGCCAATACCTTCAGGATCAGCCACTGGTTCACTCCAACCCAGTGGGCATCTTACATACCATTAGGCAGTAACAGGCCAACATGTAAAATGCCACCACAAGTTCACACGCGGGCCCACCAAATCCAAGCTGCCAGCCTTCCCACGCGAAATGGGCCGCCAGAAAGCCACCCCTGTTCACGGTCTCATTTCTCTATGGCGGTGGTTCGCTCGAGTTTTGGCCATCCTTTCCAAAACGCGCGACAGGTTCAGCACCAAACCCTGAATACAAGCAAATGTCTCTGGTGAATCCACGAAACGCACAGCTTGCCTGCCAGAAGAGCTTCTTTTTCCGGCCCTGCGTTTTTTTTTCATGGGGGAGCCGTAGAATATCTTCCTGGTTCGCTCGCATGCCCAAGATCCAAGGTGGAGCCCTTAACCGCGTCAACACCCCCACCCCACCGCCCGAAAATCCGCGCAACTCGACAAATCGATTTACCCTTGTTGAGCTGCTGAACCTGGGAACGTTCTTGTGGTGTGTCCTTTGTTGGGTTGGTTGAATGAAAAGCCAAACGGCAACCCGTTTTGGAGGGTCCCTAAAAAAAGACACACCCTATTGGCCGTAAGCCCCCCACCAAAAAAAAAGAAGAAGCAGCGCACCTGGACAGGCCTAATCTGTTCATTGGTGCAGCTGGTTTCCAATGACAAACTGAAACAAACCAGGCGCAAGTGACTCCCCAAATGTTGCAAGTAGGGAAACCTCCTGGATGTGTGCCATAGGGGGGTCAACCTGAGTCAACTGCAATTGTCCTCCCCTCAGGCCTCAATGTTCCTCTGGCGGGACCTCCATCCATCTCCACAGGTGGCCGTACAGGAAGTCCACTCCTGCTTGAACACAGGAGTACGGCTACATCAAGTTGCACGTGAGCCAGGCCCAAAATGGGCCTTGCAAAGGTAAGAAAGGAGGGCCTGGTCGACAAGGGGAACGGTTCTCCATCCCCTTCCATATTTTTCTCAGGTTGGGACCCGCATATCTGCAACAGTGCCACTGCGGACATGGAGTGCCAAGTCCCGGAACAAAGAACAATGTGGAACGTGCCCGTTCCACGTGTCTACAAAAACGAAGGGCACCTGAAAAAAAAAATATATATATATATATATATATCTTTCATGGGGCAGTTTTCAGGCAAGGGAACCTGCTCGTCTCCAATTTTAGAGCTCAGCAAACCACCAGGAAGCCCTCCGCAGCGTCCCAAAGCAGGGCTTCGGATGGGTCCTCCCAGTCGCTGAACATGCAGGGCTGCGGCACGATCCTTTCCAGGTGGCAGTGGACATTCTAAAATCCTCCTTTCAGCTTTGAGGGCGGAGGGGGAGGGGGGGGGGAGTATGAAAATATCATGTCTTCAGGAAAGGGAGGAAAACGCATTCCAGCGCTGACCCCCCCTTCCCATCACACAGGTATGAACTTGAACTGGGGACCCTTGGCGGACGTGAGGAACATGTGGCCACCACCATTTGTGGGGGGGGGGGGGGGCACCCATTAACATTCATAGCTAAGTGGGAATGGCACCATGGCAACACCCTAGATGAACCTCACAGGACCCGGACATCACTCTTTGGGGACCAAGCAAAGCAGGCAAGCAAGTGGACGGCCCAAAACCACTGCATACCACAATGCCATGGCCACACAGCAGTAGAGGGATCTGTGCATTATAAAAGCGGGCTTTCACGTAGCCAAAGGAAAGAAGGCATTCAAACCTAATCATGCTTAGATAGCTGCCACAAGATGCAACAATTGAAGCAGCTGAAGAATATCAGAAGGTCATCACGTTGCATCTCAAACGCGCCCTTTTACGCGATGCCAAAAGAAGAGATCTAGGTGGCCTAACATTGGGTACTTTTGAAATCGGTGGCTTTCCCTTGGCTGCCCTTCAAAACCAACCCACCAAAAATGGGGTTCCAGAGGAAAATGACATCAATTTATTTATTTGTTTTAAAGAAAAAAGGAAGAAAACAAACCAAAAACCCCAAGCCCCTCGACCCCTTTTCCCGCCATGCCGCTGGTGGCATCCGGCCGTCTCATCCAAAACCCCGAGGCCTCAGGTCCATTTGACGCGTGCGGCGTGTCATGCATGCGCGCTGGCTGGGAGCTGCCGTGCTCCGTTGACTTGCAGGTTACATGCTGGTAAAGGTCCTTGCGGCACCCATCCAAAGGGATTTTGTTCCAAATCGAAAAGCTGGCAAGGGGTCGACACAAAGAGGCTGGTGCAGGGGCATGGCTCATGCACTCAAACTTCTGATTTCCACTTTGGCCAACTGGCGGCCCCGTGCCGGAGTTGCGGGGGATGAGGGTGTGCCTTGACACCTGGCACCCCTTGACAGTCCCAGCTCGGCTGCTTCCCCTGGAAGCGCCCATCGCCAAGTTTTCCTTCGCTCCTCGCCTCACGTGTATGCCTGCAAAATAGGGAGCTTCCATTGAAACAGCAACCTCATTTCCCACCGAAGCTTCATGAAAGCGACAAGTTCAAAGTGCAGCCTCATGCTGATGATGAACATGAAGGTTCTTGTGAGACTGTGAGAATCCCGAATGCTCTCTTGAATGACCTTGCTCCCCTGCAAAAGCTAGCTTTCTCTGGCCAGAAAGGGGGATGGAAACGGAGGACACCTCCCCAAAAAACAACGGGCATGGAGGACGACTCCCCAAAAAAGGGCACACAAGAGCCCGAGGCCAAAGTCTGGCACCCAGCCATGCTTCCCCCCCTCTCGACGCCTCGAAAGCCAAACCAACCGGCGAGGCGCAGGGCTTTCCGCCGTTCCGGGGGTTGTGGATGATGCCGCGGCTGCGGTACCGCTGGCCGGTGGACTGGCGGGAATGCGGTTGGGGCCCACGTCCTATCAGCCTGTGGCGGCTGTGTTTGTCGAAAATCCTCAAGATGGGCAGGCCCGCCAAATCTAAGGATGCGGGGGAGAAGAGGCAAGGATGGCCAGTCTTGGCCATTTCAAATGCAAGCTCACAAGTCCAAAAGGCCTGACTCAGCACATCTCACGCTCACGCAGCTGCAAATTGCCCCGAACAATTCCGACACCTCACGTATTGTCTTACCAGGCTGTCCTCAGATTCCCGGCGAAAGCGGAAACCCAAAACCACTAAACCAACTAAAAAGCTAAAAGCTCAGGACCCTTCGAGCAAACCGGCCCCCTTCGAGCTTTTTCCGCCTGGCCAGGGTCGCTACAGCCACTCCAGGAGCTCCACTCGGTCACCTGACCGGTCAGGTCCACGGTCAGGGCTTGGGGTTGGGGGGGGGGACGGTTGACCAGGTTGACCCTCCAAAAATGGCATCAGGGAACCCACCGCAATGTCAATGAGTATTTGTCGTGCTCAAGATTTGAGAAGCTCCCACGGCTTGAACTGTCCAAACTTATCCACATCTCACATCCTCATTGAATCCTCATGCTGAATTTCACCTGCGCTGCTAGGACTTAGGCAAACCATATGAATCTGCATATGGCCAGCTGCGAGTGGGGACCCCAATTTAAAACAGCATAATGGGCGGCCAAATTTGAGCTCCCTGCGCACTTGTGTGTAGCAGATACGACATGGCTCCAGCTGGGGGAAAGAACATGAATTAAATTCTCAGAATTCAAGCCTTAAGGACACGGGAAAGAAAGCCTCTTCCAGGACCCCTCACATTTAGCACCCAGCAGCTGCTTCAGGCCCAGCCAAACTCAAGTCTGCATCAAGCCCAACCAAAGGCCTCCCACCCCACCCCACCCCCCCCGCCCAAACCCACCCCACCCCACACCCCACACCCCACACCCCGCCCAAACCCACCCCACCCCACACCCCACACCCCGCCCAAACCCCACCCCACCCATCCACACCCCACCCCACCCCACCCCAGCCCACCCACCCCACCAGCCCCCACCTCACCCCACCCCCCCCCGCATCAGAGCCCCCCGCAATCGGCACAAGCGCGCGCCTTGCAGTCCTGCGGCGTGAGGCAGTCTGCCGCACAGCGCTTCGTGCTCTCCAACGGCCCAGTGCACGGGGTGCCGCACTCGTTGTTCACGTTCTGCGAGGCGTCGCTCGGCGATTTTCGACCCGAAGAACCGGTAGAAACCACCCGCATGCACGGAAACCACCAGCGGGTATGGCATGCGACCGTGGTCAAAACTAAACCACCGGGAAATGGACCGCAGGTGTTAGTCTACTTGTCATTTTCCATTTGCCCAGATTCCATTTTGGGCACCTGTTCTTGACCCACAGCCAAGCATATGTGCCTGTCAAGGGCGGGAGCCCAGTCCTGTGAATTCTGCAGGAGCCTTCTTCCCTTTAAGGTTGGCTTGCACCCCCCTGCCGCTGACATAGAATCTAAGTTTTGGACAGCACTTGGAATTTTGAACAGGGACAAAGCAGTTGTTGGGGGATGCTGGCTGGGATCATCGACATTTTGGAGCAAACTTTGGTCATTCACTTGGAAAATGTTGAACTTCCAAACCTGAAAAGGATTAGTTGCTTCCGTAGAACACCTCAATCCAAATCCCACATTGAAACAGTTTGGGCCTCTATTGTGCGATGAGTCATGTTCGCTCAGTTACTTACCTTCCATCGCAAGAAACCAGCGCGAGCTGGCGAGTTCTGTTTTGACGCGGAAGAGTGCAACCGTGCTAAGGGGAATCATTTCGAAACAATGGAGGTTGAGGTAGCCCTTCGTGCAGCCCTTCGTGCATTACACCATTACGCCCCAAGGGCAGTACGTACGTGGACAAACTCTGGATGGGCCTCCCGTTGCCCCCAACCAACATCTCGATTCTGGTACAAATGTTGTCATCAAGCCAGAGCCAGATTACTTTAGAAGCCTAGTGGCCACTGGCCAAACCCGGCCAAAAGCAAAAACGCTCATCTTGTCCCCCGGGCCCCCCCCCCCCCCCACAAAAAAAAAAGGAAAGAAAGAGACCACAAAAACAAAGAGAGCGGAAAACTGGGCACCACCCGGCTGCACCACCCGGCTGGCTCTCTCAGCGCCTGCACCACCCGGCTGCGCGTGCACAGGCCCTCGCAGGTCGGCTGCTGCCACTCGCTCCAGGGGCTGAAGGTGCAAGGGATCGGGATGCAGTCCCTGGGCGAAAAGCGAAAAGCGAAGGCGATCACCGAACTTGCTGGCTGGATGGACCACCAAAGAAACACTGGAAGAATGATGCCCCTGTAAATGCCAACAAACACTAATGTCCCACGATTGCTTCTCAAAATCGGGAACTCCCTTTCGGGTAAAGCCGGGGCCCGGTTCACACTGTTCAATGTTAGTTGTTTTGAGCCATGGTGACGAAAGCTGAACCCTTTATTCTCTTCTGGTTACTCACTACTTTCCATCGACGTGACTTCCTTGGTCAGTCGCAGGGCCATGAACTTCCTATGTCCCTTGCTATGGCTTGAAATTGGAGCAAAAAGAATGGCCGTTAGCCCCTGTGCGGCCTCCGCGTTGGTGTTTCTGAGGCTGCCTGGCACCAACCTGACCTACAAGGGCTACCAAGTCACAGCACCAACATGGCAAACCTTGCTGGTCGGCCATTTCAAGTCAAGTGCTCTGTCGGACAGGCTGGCACTCACTTGCCGGCGAGATGCTGGCAGTCGTGGGTGAAGGGACACTTTGTTTGGTTCACCTGTGCCCCTGCACACTTGGCCGTGCCGTTCACCGCGAAGAAGACATCCGTCGGCTTGTTGCGGTGCAAGCCTCAGGCTGGCCAAAGGGGCAGAACCCCTTCAAACAGAATTCCGCCATTTTGCCCACTTCAAACATGCCCCATCCAACACGCCAAAGTAGCTCTTTTGCCAACTGCTCCCTTTGCGCTTGCGGGACACCCCTGGCTTCATCCGGACCCGCCCTGAGCCGCGCGCCCAATGTTCGGGTGACCATCGTGGTTGATTGCCCGCAAACGCCGTTGCAGTCCGCAGATGTCCAGGGGTTCCAAGCGCAGAAGAGCCTCAGCCCGCTCTGCGCAGGAAATCCCAAAACCAGCCCAGTGGGACCCCGTTCTTTGGGCTCCATGTTGGACGACTCGGTACTCATTTGGCACAACAGGTGGGGTAAAATGGGGTAAAAAGCATCAATGTCAAGTACTTACATCCCACTGAAATGGCACCTGAAAGAGGCAGTCAAATGATCTACCCTCCCCGCAGGTGCTGAGGAAGGGTAGCCTCCAGTAGGGTGCTCTCAGCATGATTCCGCCCTTTCCCGCCCCATCTGGGTCGCTGGCTTCTCGGTGCACTTGAGCGAGGGAGGGCAGTCTGAAACCTACCGCTATGGGCGCTGGCTTGGCGGCTTTGGTCGCTGGGGGGGGGTTCTCGCTGAGGTCATTCCGGTGGGTAGGAATTAATTGGGGCACCGCGAGCCTCAAGTTATTACCATGGTTATGGCCCGTAAGCAGGATTCCAACTGAAATGTCTCGCCTCAAACAAAGGCAAGCCCGGGGAACTTTGAAAATTCTGGCACCGGCTCTAACCCATGCTAGGCATGTTTTGTGCCGGGTATTTAACCACACCGGAGGGGCGGCTTTGGTCTCAACATGGTGGAACCCCACAGTGAGTGGGCTGCCTGTGTTCCGTGTGTTTGGAAGGGGTGGGCCTCAGCAAAGCTCGCCCTGTCTGGAGCTGCGACATGCTGCGACCAAAAAATAAAAGAGACCCTATGTCCCATTCAAAACAAACGGATTGTTGGGACGGGAGGGGGGGGGGGCGGTGTTAAAGAGGGTCTTGGATCAATCAGCATGTTGCTCGGGTTGCCTGGCGTTTCTTCACCCAATTTGCCCCCTGATATTTCCCGCGCCCGGCTCGTTCCCAACGAAATAAATGACCTTACATGCTTATGATAGATGTGCTTTCTTCTTTCCCAGGTCAGTGACTCCCCACTGCCTACAAGTACCTGCTTGCTTGCCTGTTCTCGGGCCCGCAGGCCTGCCTGCCTGCCTGCCTGAGTGCCTCCTGCCTGAGTGCCTCCTGCCTGAGTGCCTCCTGCCTGAGTGCCTCCTGCCTGAGTGCCTCCTGCCTGACTTGCCTACTTGCTGGCTTTCCAGCCAGCTAGCCATCCAGCTAGCGAGCTGCCTTGAAAGGAAACGCCCAAAAAGCAACCAAGGGGTCGACAGCCCGTACCCACTAAAGCAATCAACCAACCTGCTCGCTTCCTCTTCCCCCGACCCGGGGGGGGGGAAAACCCGGAACCCCAGTCAGGTCAAATCGAGCCGGCCTCCTTAGAGCTCTGCATCTCGCAGCGCCGGCCGCAGTGATTCCTCAAATCGACCGGGCGCATCTAAGGGAACCTGACCTGCGCCCGTTCTCCGCTGCAAAATTCATTCGGCTGAGAAAACCACGGGCTTCATCCTTCGGGGTCGGCATGGAGCCAAGTGGAATGCACAACCTCTAAAACACGGGTTCGGGGCTCTGGGGCTTGTGGGGCACATTTAAGGGCACGATCTTCAAATCTAGCTGAAAGCATGGGCAAACAACTATCCGGATCCACTAAGTGCGGGACCTTCATGGGGTGAGGCTTTTCCCCATCGCGAGAACAAAAGCCCAACCTTCAAATCTCCGGATGGGGGGTCTCTCGGGGGGGCGGGTCTGGATCTCTTGAAAAAGATTCAGATCCCTTCTTGGTGTCCTTCTGGGAAATCCAAGAAACAGACGTCGGATGCAAGGGCTGCTTGAATTTTTGCAGTACATCACATCCAAAACCAGCTCTGCCCGAAACTCGTCTAAATCAGCTGCTCTTCCTGACTTTTGCCTTTTTGCTGACTGGCATTTGTCTTTGGCATGTGGGGCCCTTTAAGGGCATCGAATCGCTTCGCCATGGCGCGGCATGATGTCGATGTTCCGGTGCCGGTAC